CAATCCAATTTGAATTGTGTTTTCAATTCATTATCTCATACGTTCCTTTTTTGGGGTTAAATCGACAACACCGAACGGTTGCATTCACTTATCTCTCACTATGTTGAACTGTAAACTGTACTCTTCACTCACTTGATATGAGTATGAATCCTATAGTCCTGTACAATTCATTGAAACAGTCTGATTGGCATTCCACTCGATACCGTATGATAATCTCCAGCAACTCATCTTTCAACAACTGAAACACTCTTGCTGCTCATAACACAGCTCGTATGGCTAATCGTACTGCCAACTGGTTCTTTCTCAAAGCGTTCTCTACTCGATGAGTTACGGTAACTCTGTAATACAATATGCTGATCTGTGGGAAATAGTTCGAAGCTTCTTTGGGTGCTATCAAATTGTATTCGAATTTCTCGATCATTTCCTGAAAGGTCACTGATTCACCGGAGTAAATTATGAAGTTACTTTGAGGCGTATTCTAACAGTTCTTTTGATCTCGATATCCAACTCAGAGAGCCACTTCTCCACATGACGCTGCAATCGATGAAGTACAACTCATTATGAGAATGAGGTTCACCTTTGTCCAATTTAGGTTTATAGGTTTATCCAGTAACAAGTTGTTGGTCCCACTTGTTGTAGATGCGATTTGACCTCTGAAACTCATGAAAAACTGGCGAAGAGTGAATAGTCTCACTTTCGACTTATTTCAAAGCTTGATATGTTTGCGAATAGTTCAGGGAGGAATGGCTTGACAGCTGTTGGACTCCTTGCAATAGAAAGTAACTCCAGTAGTTGCTTGTCAGAAAGCAAGTAAAACCTTCAAATATGCTAGTTTACGAGTAATGTAAGATAGAACACCGTGGGAATATAACTCGTTTCGTGAACATGTATGTTTTGAATCCTGCTTCCAGATGATGAAACTCATTCATTACTTTTTGGAGGAGGTCCAACGAATAATCAAGCCTATTCAGACGGTTCATGAAAGGTTCATCAGTTGTCTGAAGAACACGGTTATAACCCGACTACTTCGGTAAACTTCTCTCACAAGTTCATGAGCGATTTCTTGCCAGACTACAGCTGTCGCTTTGAATATTTTGTATTCTTCAGGCAGCTGAAAAGCCATTTCATCAGTACTGAAAACTCCTTCTATGGTTCTCCATCTATATGAACACTGGAGAAGAAAAAATTGGAAAGATGTTTGATAATACAAGAATACTTTCTCATAAAAATGGTTCAATTTTCGCAGAGAAATCAGTACATCAAGCCATTCTTGTAATTCGGTCATCAAAGCTTTCGCCACTGGCAAACTCATCAGATGATATGTTTTGGCTGGAATGTAAAATGAACCATGATTGTTGTCAGCTGAAGACATACATATTTGGAAGTTAAGGAGATGAGCACGATCAACAGAGAACAAAACGGCTTGTTGCTATAATCAGAGGTTAAGAAATTATAACCGTCTTTACCTTATTGAAGCAAACGTTGTCCCAACGATGCTTCATTCTCTCCATCTCCTGCTCTAACTCTTGTTCCTGAATTGGGTTACGGTGTCGAGCTGAATGACTTCATACCTTCAATGCCATAGCGTTCACCTCCTTAATAATTGCGACTTTCTCGATGAGATGCATATGAAGCAAGTCTACCACCATCGGGTTGGTCGGTAAACTGATCTGAGAATCACCTTCTTGTAAGATCTACAACAAACCAAATTAGGAAGAGTAGATTGTGAGGTTGAAACTTCTCTCCAATGTCTCTCTTTCATGCCCTTGTTGCGTAAGGCTTTTAGAATTGGGAGGACGTTCAGGAAACGATCCAGTATAACGTTTATCTGAGATAGAACAAAGTTTTTTGGCAACTGCTGAATTAGAACTTTTGCGAGAATGTCCGTGTAGATGGATTGCTCTTCCTCATCGATAACAATATTTGCTGATTGTTCTGCTAAACAGTTCCTCGATTGAATAAGCTTCTCTGTTTTATCAGCAACATCTACATCTTCCAAGTCAACGACATGTACTGAGTTTACCAAATAAGCATTTCATTACGAACCTCCCATACCTCTCATTGTTGTATCTTCGTGTAGTAACACTTTGTAGTGTAAGCCAGCCAGCTCATGCCAGAATGCTAATCGTGTGTAAAGGCTTTGGACATCATGCTCTAGAGGTGGTAACTTTAGAATTTGACGTTGCAGTTCGAGTAAAATTTCCGTTTTCGTTAGTTCTTCAACTCTTTGCTTCATATGGCGTAGTCGGTTACTTGCTTTCAGAACATCTGGAATTTTGCGAGCAACCCGATATGTTCGGATTACTGCAGACAAATCATCCAACAATTCTGACAGCTCTTTGTTGTGGTCTCCTGTTACATCAGATACCTTAATAACACTCAATCAGAAAATCGAAGACAGATTTTGATTTACTCTAGTCATTATCCACTCCTTCTGTGCTTCTATGCGTTGCCAGGTATACACCAGCATTATATGCAGGTTGAAGCCGTATCGAGAAATCTCAAAGTAGTGTTGTAGCTGACAGTCTGGAACAAATCTTTCTATTGCATCATTATCTGATCAGACTTTACTTTTCAAAGGTACAAAACTCCATATGTGGGTATAAATCAAATGAGCTTCTTCTATCATCCTCTCAAGAATTGGCAACTGCCTCTGCACATCCACAACGTAACGAAGTTGGCTCAGAACGTCTTGGTCTACCAGTTTCTCAGAGCATTCACCAAATAGCTGTCTAATTCTTAAAGAGTATATATGAGAAGAGCTTTAAGATAATAACATCACTTTTCATTCTCTTCCGATTGCTTCCCAGCAATCTTATCGCGGCAGTCTAGCAAAAGCAAATCTATTTCACTTCTCAAAGCGTTTTTCAGTTTCTGTTGCTCCAGTAAGATTCTTCCTGCGTGAATTCTTTCTGGCAAGCTGACTACATCATCTCTCAGAGAAACCATTTCGGCCATTAACTTCGAAATACTTGGATTAGTTCTTTCAATAGTATCTAAGAACCTCGAAATATTCTTGAATACTGTCAGCACATTTGACTCTCTCTGTCATGTTTCGAATATTTTGTAAAATCTTCTTTGTCTCATCAGGAGTTGAATCGAATAAGAACCACTGTATAGGACACGTCTGTCAGATACGCGGGACATAGCTAACCTCGATTTCACGTATCCAATCTGTTACGTCGATCTTAGCGTTTGCAGCTATTTCTGGGAACATTTTGGCTTCAATACGAGGCACTGAAAACGATGGTTCTGTTAGAGATGAAGTGATAGGTAACTTTTGGCTAATCGAAGAAGTATTCGAGCACACTCATACAAGCAATTGGTTTCTCCAACATCATTGGATACTGAGATAGCCAGTATTGATACTTGATAGAATGAACTCTGGAAAAGACTATTAGGTTTTCAACTTCTACACTCTTCTCACATCGTTTCTAATGAAAGAGAATAAGTTCAGTAGATTCTCTTTAATGACAGAAGCCAATAATCCTGCCATTGTGATAGCAACACCGTCGAAATGATATCTTAACACGTTAAAAACATTTTTCATTTCTAGACCTGAAGACGTGAGAAACGGTTGTTCACCACAAGCTAGCCTCCACTGCGTCTTTTAATTATCTGAGTGTGTACCTGCATTTCTCATCTGGGATCCAGGGATCTACTTCCATATCAAGAATGATTTTTCCAACACTTATTGGCCATCTGAGTAACATTTCGACCTTTACTTGTTATCACATCTTGAACTCACTTAAAGTCGAGAATGCTCCTACAGTTCTCTGTAAAGTCTTCTAAGTGTTGTACCAAACGTTTCATGCTCTGTGGTTTGGTCTCACAGAAGAATTCGCAGAAATCGAAGAGAAGATCAGATCGGTATCTCTGCCAGAACTCTTTGGCGATCTTATGCCGGAGGCCAACTAGTTGCTCCAACTATTGAAATAATCTTTACTCTCATGCGTTATCACTTCTCACTTTTTGTCTCTTCTCACAGACGATTCCTTTCCAAGGTGGATATCCTTTATACTGAGGGCTAGAAGAGCAAAAAGGTAATATTTCGAAAATTTTCAAGATCTTACTGCTTGTCCACAAACGAGTATCTGTATCTCCGTTCACTCTCTTGAGACCATTCAAACCATAGCTTCCTTAGTCGACAGAATATTTCGTATTCTTCCTCTTCCTTATAGGATATTCTGCACAGTATTTCTAAAACTCAATCATGAGCATTTGATACCATATGTGCCTTACTCTGATGTTGCCTCTCCCATGCTGGATACTCTGCATAAGGTCCTGTAACAATCAGAGAACTTACATCTTCAAAGCAGTCGTAAATCAGTGCATTTTCCAATAACCTCAGCCTAAAAAACTTTGTCTAATGCACGCGCTGAGGTTTTTCACCTTTGAGAGCGAGGAGTTTCAATCGGAACTTTGGGTTTTATACCTAATCCTCTTATTTCTTCAAGTTCACCTTTCTCGATCACATAGCTCTCTTCCACCTTCTTCACAATCTTCCCTTGGTGCGCATGTATTACTTGAAAATAAACGAATAAGCAGCTGAATCTTTGCATATCACACTTCCTTGCTCTGTTCTATGAGGTAGATAATTCAGAATAATTTCACAGCTTAAGTGTCGAGCCCGAGGATGGAAAAGTCTTCCGAAGCCATCGTTTATTGAGACTTGAAGAACGTCGGACTCGGCAACCATCGGTAGATTGACTAAAGTGTGAGCGAATGACTTAGTCACTCATCGATATCCTGCTTGCTATGCTGGGCTTAACGAAGCAGAAAACTCGAAGCGACTTCTGGCACTGTGTTCCATTTCCGTATGAACACTAATTAGCACTAGCACGCTAGCAGTACTGCACACCAGTCAAGATTCTCTTCTGTGCATTCTCAACGTTAGGTGCTTCAAGTGAATGAAACGTTTTATTCCAATTCTATATACAATATTATACATTCAAACATGTGAACAAGTAACTGAGTTCCAATTATGTCAACATAGTAAATCAAAAAATATTTGGAGGCATTGGTATTACCCCAACTCCTACACCTCCTTCATGGCATTGCAAAGGAGGTCCAAGCTCCCAATCATTTGCTTCTTCATTATATATTTCAATAGAAGATAAATTCGATGATCCATCGTATCTGAAAGCATGATGGGAATCAAAGAATAATGGAAAACGATCAATTACCCAGCTATAGCATAGAGGTTGTTGGCATTCGCTACAACGGAAACACGGCTTCTCTTGATTTTCATTGGTGTGACAGTACTCCACGTATTAGTTATGGGATCAAAACTTTCAACACTGTTCAGGAATTGGGATCCATCATAACTGAACAGGCGTGTATGTTGAAGAGACATATGATGACAACATACCCTCCACAAACATATATCTTTCCGTCCATTACTGATGCTCCCAATCGACATCTTCTAGTTAGCATGGGAGTGCCGTTTTCCCAGACTCCTGTTTCAATACTGTATCTCTCCACACTGTTGAATATGCACATTCCATCATGTCCTCCGATCACTGAGAAGATTATGTTCAACAGCAGAATATATTGATTGACATACCATAAAGATAGCCGTCCAGTACCACAACTCCGGCCGCACTTCGTTGTTTCAACATCGTGGGACCTCCAGACCAAGTATCTTTCTCCGGATCGTATATCTTCAGTTTAATAATTTCTAATAACAAGATCCATCTATACTCACTTCAACTGTTGCTAGAGAAGTGATCCCATCATACCCTCCGCACACGTACAACTTTCCATGAAGGAATGCAGCACCGAGAGCGGATCTCTTCATGTCCAAAGGAGAACACTAGAATAAGGTTTCAGCTCGGAAAATCAATAACGCATTACCAATTTCCATTCATTCTTTAAGTAGTTGTAAGCTTCTACAGTTCTTAAGCGATCAGTTCCATTGAATCCACCAATAGCGTAAATCTTTAGAAAAGAGTTTGGAGTAGAACAAGATGATGACTTACCTTTTTGTCATGAACTGCAACTCCCACACGACAACGTAGCTGTGGCATCGGTCTCACATCCGTCCATTTTTTCGTATATGGATCATACATCTCGACCGCTGAGGAATTACCACCAGCAACTAGCCCTCCTGTGGGCAATTATATTTTTCAAAGTTTTTTCTGTTACTCACCAATTGCAAAAATCAATCCCGGAACATCACTGCAGCATCTAGACTTGACTCTGAATGACTTTGACAGGATACGGCGTTCGGGCATCAAGTGGTAATCTTTTGCTTCATCAACCTTCAAGACACCAATCATAAGTGTAAGAAAAAAGAAACTAACCAAATCTCGGCATGCTAAATCAGCTCTGATCAGGTTATGTCCTGCAACTCGATCAGTCAGGAAGGAGGGTTTAAGTAAGTGTAGCCGCACACAGGCCAATAGCCTGAATGAGCATCATAGATGGAATATAGAAAGGCAGTTTTTTTACTTCGACAAATGTTTTCTCCTTGTATCGTCGTATTGGATCCATTTCAGAGCAGCTTCGAAGATGTCTTCTTCGGAATCAACATATAAACTATCCTGGGCTAATATAGCTATGATATCATCAAGCTGTAGGTTAAGAAACTCCTCGCTCCTACAAACGGCTAAGAAATGCTTTTGAACGAAGTTATCAGAAACATCAATGATGAACCTGAACCGATTTTAATGAGAAGCATTGAATCAATATTGCCCTACTTGCTTCCTAAATAGGAACAGAAAGATCGGACGGCAAGAACATTGCTCGGATGCAATCGAGCCAATAAAAACGAAGCACAATCTTCAACAACTTCTTCCAACTGCAGGAAGTTTGCAGCAATCATCAGATCCTGCACATTCCCAGCCGAAATTTTAAGTTCACCAGTATATGCAAAGTCCACCATTTGTTCCATTATTTCCCATGACATTTCTAAGAAAGTCACATGATCAGATCGCTAGATGAGAGATCGGAGTAACCTTTTAAGCTTATTTCTTTCTGATTTGCTTCTAACATATCGGTTGTAAACATGGCACGAAAGTATGGAATCACTGCGGACAACACAATCTGAACGTTTGCTATGATATTCTCTATCAGTGATCAGTGAAACAAAAACCTTATGAGCACTTATCACTCCTCCCTGAGAAATAATACAAATATCACATAGTTGACCGGATCTACGAATTTCATTCAAGTTACGAAAAGCCTTCAACCTTCTATTAGTTTGCATTACTGTATCATAACAAATACCTTATTGAATATTTTGTCTTCATGGCTTACAAGGATGATGTCATCATCTTCTGTACATAGTGAAATACGGAGTTCTATAAAATACAAAATAACGCGAGTTAAGATGCGAGAATACTCACGTTCGGTGTTTGACGTCGGCATGATGTCTATATTAGTAGTGAATTAGATGAATAGTTTGTTTGTAATTTATTTTAAAATGCAATCGTTCTGTGAATTTAGTATACACTCGACTAGGAATCTGTTCCAGTTAATGAGACGCTGCCAACGGCAGAAGAAGCTTGCATCCAAATCTCTTAATGGATCGCTTCAGACCCCGATCTCACTGGCATGTGAACCAGAGCATCACCGTACACATAATATATGCCAAGCCGCGCGCTTGGCGCATGTGTTAAATATACATCTGGCACTGGCGTCTTTCAGCTTTTCAAATTTAAAGAATTCTGGTAATTTTGAAAGTTCTGTTATCAGAGCTTCCAGTTAAACTTTTTTTTTCTCACCGCATTGTTTGTCTTCGTATGTTGTTTGTTGTAATGCGACTGTTACTGCGCCTCCTTCGATTGTATTTGAGCTTTCTGAGTGTTTTCAATTTCTTATTGCTGTGTTTTCTTCTGATCGTTGTTTATATTAATCGGACACTTCTTTTCAGAGTCTCCAGTTGCATAATGACTATAAAGCAACACGATTCGACGCCTGTTGGTGTCACTCGTAATATTACCGAAGTTTTTAGTTTGTTAAGAAACAATGCACAGCAAAGCAAATTCTACTCTCAAAATAAATCCTCCAGGTCACGCAATGTCCCGGGTTGATATACAGTTCATCTGCTCATTCTTATGTAATATGTTTTACAGAAGAAAGGATGAGTCTGGTCAGTTTAGAAGATGGGGAGGATAACTCCGCTAGTACAACAGAAATCATGTGGATTCATACATGTGATGAAATAGAGTTCGATTTTGGCAGGTTTGTGGGCATTGTAAATCCCATTGTTATGTTTATGTTACGATCTTAGGATACGTAGTCGTATTGAAGAATTAGCTGCTGCCCAACAGAAACATATTTCCCGACCTAATTTCGGTGATGAAGCTTTTGAAGCCGAAGAAAAGAGGATGGAAGGCCTCACTGAGCAAATAACTTCGATGATGTCTCACTGCCAACGACTAATAGGGTATCGAATATAATATTTTTATGGATTTTCAATGTTTTTGTTCAAGAATGATGTCTTCACAAGTTCCACGAAGAGAAACTAAAACAGAAAAGCAACTTAGGGATAATGCCGTCAGTTCACTTGTGTTCACACTCAGTGAACTCACAAATGAGTTCCGAACACGACAAGCGAAGTATCTGAATGATATAAAAGTGGGTTCCTTCCTATCATCATGTAACCATTCTATGTTTCTTGTAGAAAAGACGAAGTGAGGTAAATAATTTCCTCATTACCATGGGCTCTACTGAAGATTCAAGTTGGGAAGGCTTATTAGACAATAATCCTAGTCAGGAATATACAATGGACCAAATTCAAACGATGATGATGAATGACCAGGAGGTGAAAGAGCGGGAAGCCGAAGTAAGACTTATCCCTCTCATCTGTTACATTTTATGTGTATAGGTGCTTTCTGTCAACTCATCGATACGCGATTTGAACAATTTGTTTAAAGATTTATCTTCTATGGTCATAGACCAAGGCACCATACTAGACAGGTAGGCTTAGATGCTTTTTCGAGTCTTAATTTTATACATCAGAATTGATTATAATGTGGAGCAAGTATCAATGAGAGTTGGAAATGCCGTGACCAGTGTCCGAAAGGCGGAAAGTTCGCAGCGAAAGGACAAGAAGATGCATTGTATCTTTATGCTTGCCATTGCCATTCTGTTCGTCCTCCTGCTCCTCATCTTCTCAAAGTTTTGATCACACTGATATACATATTGCTATATATATTTATATATTTATACATACTTATACTTCTTAAACTAATATTCACGGGTTGTTGTATGTATTGGAAGATAATTTATGAAATTTTTAAATATTTTAATTTTGATTCGGATATTCCGTGTTTGAGTTCGAGGTAGTATCTTTCCCTTTGTGTCATTGTCATCATTCATCTCGAATTATAATGTTTGTTTGAAGATGGAAGGAGAGAGACTAAGTACCAAAACTGCTCATATTCTAAGAACGGCTGCAGTAACACCTGATCATTTCAAAAACTTAGGGTTCGAATTCTCTGTTAACCATTTTTGCTTACCACATGTTATAGAAATCAACACTCATATGAATTCGGAGCTGTTGCCGAATTCCTTGATAATTCAGTCGATGCTGGAGCTACCGAAATGCATATTGATGTTGGTAGGTTCATCAGGAATCTTTCCGTGGATTATACTTCACTTTCAGAGTTTATTAATTTAAACCCAGTTATCACATTCCTGGATAATGGTAATGGAATGAGCAGAGAAGAGGTTTCTCCAGAAGTCCTACCCGGTTTCTTAATGTCTTTTACAGTGTGTTAACATAGCAGTTCTTGGAGAATCCAAAAAAGCTGCATCCAATAAGATTGGAAGGTTTGGAACTGGACTGAAATCGTGAGTTTCGTTCTTGGATCAGCTGTCCTTCAACCACAACTCTCATCAGAGGTGCTATGAAGTTGGGTGAAGACTTTGTGATTTTTACGAAGAAGAAAGACTGTGTCAGTTGTGTTTATATGGGAACTTCCGCTTCCAAAGTAACAGGAATCCAACAAGTTCGTTACATCCTCAAGTCTCGATCTCATCCCTATTCTTCAGGTAGCTGTAGCCGTGCCATCTTTTGAAGAATCTTCGTTCCACCCGATTGAAGAAGGCATGCAAAGGGTGAGTACGCTCTTCCAGCTGTTTCATCATTTTATTTTTTTACAGCACAAATTAGAGATGAAGACTATCTTGGAATACTCACCTTTTCGCACTTTGGTACTCACTCTCTGTAATTTCAATACTAATGATCCTTACCGTTTAGGATGTCTTCTTCCAACAGTTCCAAAGAATCCCTGGAGAGTCTGGAACTCTCGTTGTAATGTATAATTTCCATTTAAATCCCTCTGGTAATATAAATTTGGATTTCGATTCTGATCCAAATGATATATGTGTCAAAGACAGGTAAATCCAGCAAGCTGAAAATAAAGTCTCTCGCCCCTTTTCAGTAGCTTAAATAGGGAAATGGAAAGTCTTAGAGAATTTTTAGCAACCCTTTATTATAACCCCACGATGAAGGTAGGAGACAACACCAGGGCAGAAGTCTCAACGATCCTCTTCAGATTTATCTAAGAAATAGCCGTGTATTAACCAAAAGAATGGCGTCCTGTCTTTATTTTCCTAGAAAATATAAAATTGAAACTAAGCTGTTCAAAGAGAGCGCTGCGTTAGCTCTTCAGAAGATTGAGTTCTCGCTGGATCGAAGTTAGTTCTTCAATGTTTCGAGATATCATATCATCCTTCCTTGCAGTCAGACAAGAGAGTAATCGTGTAAAAGGAGAAATGTCATCCCTCTGTCTGGGTGATCGAAGCATGGCACCAAATGAGCGCTTAAGAAACAATGCTGAGAGACTTCGTAAAGAAACGTCAGTTACTCAACTGATCCACATCTCATAATTGTTTTTTTAGAAGATTAGAACAATTGAATGAAATTATATATTCTTCTGAACAAGAAGTCAATCGGCTGAAGGTATACTGGTCTCGATGTTAGTTTGAAGTAATCGTGATTCAGGCAATGAAGAAGTTCGATATTAACCCAATTTTCGGAATCAATATCCATGATAGGTTTGCTTCGAGATAGTTCACACACTAAGTAAAACATTTTGAGGTCAAAGTATGGGTTGATTCTTCACTCCAACGGTAGAATGGTCAAAATGTACGAGAAGTTGCCTAGTCAGGAAAAAATGCTCGCAAGAAACCAGGATGAATGGTAGTGGGAGACACATTTATCTCAGTTTCTAAAATCTTTAGGAAGTATATGGGAGTTGTCTGCTATCTGAATATTCCGTACCACACAGTACCGCCAGCTATCAATAAAGAAACTCTGGCAACGGTCAAGTGGGTGTGCTAGTGTATATCGCAAACTATTTAATTCTAATTAAGGGAGTACAAAGGTATTTTGAGAATCTTGAACGAACGTCTTCTATACTACTGGGCGGAGTTCATGATGGAAATCAACAAGTGTGGAATGCAATCGGCTCTGGAATTTTGGTAGAAATTTCTATCTTTAATGGAACAGTATCAACCTTTATAGGAAGAAAATTGGTTACTCAGCGACAGATTGTTTAACACTACAGGAGCCCAGAAGGAGAGAAGCTTATCTGAGAACAGGCTTCGATGTGCAATGTGGTTAGACGCGCTTGAAAGTGCCTATTCAGTATCCTGATTTCCAGAAAGATGTGGCAAATGGCGCTCTTTAGCTTTTACTGAAGAATTATTCAACAGCAATATTCCTAGTAATTGGAGATGCGAGGATAATCCTAATCCTCATTACAGGTCCTGTCATAGACCTGAAGCTCTTGTAAAGGTGATAAGCTTTTCTCAATCGTTCCTTTTTCATTTTTTTCTCAGATCAAAGATGGTAAAGAGGATTTGGTTATCGACGATGAGAACTCCATCCAAAATGTATCAAAACAGCGCGTAGAGAAGAAACGTTACAGTCAAATAAAAACGGAGCAACCGCCTGATCATTCTTCAATTACTGTTGTTGAGGAAAGACCATATCGACAGCATCAAACTCAAAACCGAGCTTTCATTCGCATGTCTCTGGTGAATGATGACATAGATGATGATGCAGATTTCGAAGTTACAGCCCCGTCGCCTTCTTTGGTATATCTCACTCAGTTGTATTCATCTCACCGTTTCGTTCAGCGTGATCGCTCCTTACTGAAAAGACCATTAAGTACTACCACGTTCGAGGAACCTGATAGGAAACTCCAAAATGTTTGTTCATACTTTGTATGACGTTTACTGTTTTCGTTTTAGGAAAGCAATCGTATAAGAAAAACAATTACACCTACAGGTCAGAGAGTTGGAGTTGTTCAAAAGACAACAACACCATTGTCGACACCTCTGAAAAAACCTCAGATTGTTTCATTACATCCTACTTCAGCGCCACCAATCACTTCAAGTATTTCAAGTTTCCGAATTCCAAAAATCAAAACAGAAGCTTCTACCTCCAACGAGTCTGTCGCTTCGAGTGGAAGTTATATACAGTCAGTGTCATCTAATGATATGGTCATGCGTGTACGGATATGATTTGTTCTTTCATCACTCTCATCGCCCCATTTCAGAATATTGAACGAAGTTGTACTGTTTCTCTTGACATGATCTGCTTCTTGGACGCTTTTGCTAAGAGGGTAAGAATACACTTTCATGTTCCTCTCATCACACATATGTATAGGGCTCCGAAACAGCTAAGAATATAGTGGAAGGAGCAACAGTTCCTAGTGACTACCTAGAATTGGGTCAGAAAGTACTGTCTGAGTTGGAAGCTCTGATAACGTTCGAAGCACGTACTGAATGAATCTCACGTTTCGAATGTATTTTTATTTATCTTTTGAGAATACAAAGCACATACTTTACCGCTGTAGTTTGTATTATATGATGTCGTTGTTTTTGTCTGATAACTAACCTATTCGCTGATGATCTTCTTGCCCCATTATGATTCTTCCTATCAGATGTGATCTCAGCTCACTTCATTGAATATGCCGTAGTTTCATGTAAGATTTGTTTTTATTGTTTTATGAGAAGAAAATGTGTTTTCTTGATGTAATGGTTTTTGATTTGAAGTCAGAAGTCCTATCGCTTCCTTTATCTTTTCTACTGATGTGAAGGTTCCATCGAAAATAACTGTATGAGTCGTCTTCGTCGAATGACGTGCTCACAATCGATGGTCTGACTCCTGACACCATTCTTTGATCTCACACTCAGCTTCTCTACTGCATGCTTGGGTTGCTATATTCAGACAGTCAGACTGTTCAAAAATATCTTTTAGTACTTCTCTGTTATGTCGTCTCCTACTCAAGTACTCAAGTTTTTAACAATCAAAATGAAGGCAATGTTTCATTTTGTGTTGAAAGTGTTCTGTTTCGTTCTATTTCTTGTTTTCTGATAAGGTGAAGGGGGAGGGGGGGGTGTCATTCCAATTTATAAAAGGAAATTTCTTATTTTAACGTCTCACGGGAATAAAGAATCACTTTGCTGCTTTCCCTTATTATTTTTCATATTTCCCTCCTCCTATGATTATTCTCTCTCATCGTTTAAGCTTCAAAACCAACAACAGATTCAAAGCAGCTCTTTATAAAGCGGTTCATATCTTAGTATGGAACAGTTATGTTCTTGTGTGTGATCACTGTTTAGCCAACGTTCTTTTGCTGTTTTCTTTGACTCACCAATCTGTGTAGAATTATCGGAAGGTAGATGAGTTGGCAAACATTGATCTCCCACCTTCAACTCCGACCACATTCAATTATAACAGTCTAAGCCTCTACTCTCCTAACTACATCAAGGAATCACCTGATTTCTTCGAATCCTTCCCATACAGACAACAGAGTACGATCATATATCAGACTGACTAAAGTTATCTCTCTAAAAGCCAAGTTCAGACTACAAACTACTTTGGTCTCGTGGGGCGGAGTTTGTAGTCGCGACGCGTAAGTCTGTGATTTTTACGAAAAGTCGATAATTTCATTTTTCAATTGTGTGTTTTTTTCGGTTGTTTGTAACATTTTCATGGGAAATCAATTATGACCAATTATAGCTTAGAATTCTGTAGGTTGCTATCTCTTCTGCCTCAGGGCATTCACTTGCCATTCCGCTCTTGCTCTCTCTCTCATCACTCTCCCTCTCTCTATCTTTCTGTCTCTCTCTCTCGCGTCTTAATTCTTTGTTCTATCTTATCGCATTCAATATGATAACATGTATTTTTTCTGTTAATTAGCATAAGAACAGAACCTGTTCTTTTTGACAAAATATCAAAAAATGGCCGATTGGACCTTTTGTCGGTTGTCTTGTCATATTTCAAAAGAAACTTGTTCCATATTTGAATTCAGTCCTGTTACTTTAAAACGCATGTTGTAAGTCATTACGGGATCATGTTCGAACACAATCAATCCCGACTGACATAGGTTCGATTATGGTTTTGGTAGAGAAATTGAGAAAAACGAAACCCCACACACTTTCAGAGAGATTCTATCAACTCGGCGTTTGTAATTCACTCTGCCGTGAAAAGGAAGAAGGTCAAAAACCTCCTTTTCTTCTCATTTTCCCTTTTGTCTGGAAAGATTCTTCTCTCTTTCAATATGATTCCCTGCCGCGTCTGGGTTACTCTCTCTCTCTCTCTCTTAGTGCTCATTTGTATTATCGTATTGGTTTCTGTTTCATTTAAAAAAAAACTGTGAACGCTTCGCACGTTCTCACCAAACCACGAGCCCCCTCAGTTACTCCCTACTCTTACTCGCACCCTCTGTAAGTTCTTCTGCGAACCAAAAAAAAGACGTACCAATTTGGCTATATCCAACATGCTGTTTTTGTTTTCAAATATATAAAGTCCGAAATAAGTTGGATTGTTCAGGACTCCTAATCTCTGCTACATCTGCGAAGATGGTGGCTATTGTTACCGCGATGCGAGATCCTAGGATCCGGCAGAAAGGCATTTCTGGAAGGATATTCGTGCGAGGAAGCTCGACTATTTAATTTCTTTTTTTTTGCATTCTTCCTACCTGCGCACATCGTCTAATGTTCATGTGTATGATTACATGTTTTGGCATGCCTTGCCATGTGATTTAAGATTAATCATCGAGTCTTCCCACCGATCCTTCCGTTATAAATATATCTAAAGTTCTTACTTTCCGATTATCTCAGTTAACATCTGATGGTGGTACGCAATAACGTACCTATGTGGCGCTAATTGAATTGGACATTACTCCCAGTACTTGGTATAAGGTCTCTGACGTCTCTATCAAAGATTAGAGAACGTACGTGCCATTCTAAGAAATATCATTTGAACGTTTAGTTGTCGATTCCATTGCCCTTCCTCCCATGTTAACCTCTTTGTCCATTTTTCTCTCGTCCCCTCGCATCTCTCGCATCTCTGTTCGACATTTAGAAATAATAGGTGTAAAGAACATTCCATAATTAAATATTATTAAAGAGGCGGGGTGAGTTGGTCGACATTTCCACTCAGTCGAGCATTCACCTTCTCAGTTTATCAAAAATATCTATCAGTGTCACCTGTTTGCTCGAACGATTGTTTGATATCATTGTCCATCATCATCATCCCTTGATTCGCCCACAGCTCCAGAGCTGATGGCAGTGTCGCTATAGGGCTTTCCATCATTTACAAGTCAATTGTCTTGTCTGTTATCTTTAGAGTCCAACCATACCACTAACGAAGCATATTCACTTTCGTTCATGATTCTTTCTCCAATGTTCTTGAACAAGGGCAACCCCTGCCCATAACAGTCGCATGTGAAGATGAGGTCCCGATTAGCAAGCTTCCCCTATCATACCGTGCAACCCTATCAAATCGGATTTGACAAATCCGAAGAAATACGCAAGTTGGCGAAAGTTTTGTGCTACTCTTATCGTGTCGTGAATTTCGTTATAATACTGTCCGTCGTGAATGTGTTAATCTTATAATCTATTTAGGCCATGTTGGACTGGATATTATCGCAGATAGATACGTTCGATATTTTTATTTTGGTCGTCTGTGCAGCAGTAACAGCTTATTTCCTTATAGGGAAAAATTCTAATAATGAAAGGTTGATCATCATCATGCTAATACTCAGATTTGATATGTCAATACCTCAGATACTCGCCCAATGTTGTATCGGTACAGCCAACGGCCAGTTCATCCAAAGATAAACCAGTTATTGACCGCATGAAGGATGAAAAGAGACCTGTCAGTCTTGGTTTTTGCCTTCGGGGTTATGAAGTTTACCTACTTACAGGTTCTCATTATGTATGGATCACAGACAGGAACTGCCGAAGAGTTGTCAGGACGTCTTTCTAAAGATTTCGCTCGCTATTCGCAGAAGGCTATTGTACTAGATCCCGAACTCTTTGATACAGACGATTTTGGAAGACTTACAGGTTCTTAGATTTCAATCAGACGAATGCGGGATAAAGCGATTTTCAGAAATCGAGAATTGCCTGCTCGTTCTTTGTATGGCCACCTACGGAGAAGGAGATCCAACTGATAATGCTCAAGGATTAATTGAATTTATTAATAATACTGAAGTAGATTTGACTGGTGTTAGCTATGCAGTGAGTTTCTTACCCTCGCCCTTCTTAATTGAATCAAACAATCAAGGTGTTCGGTCTCGGTAACAAGACTTACGAACATTTCAACGCTGTCGGAATTGAATTAGACAAGAGACTTGAAGACCTCGGTGCCAAAAGAGTATTTGAACTTGGTCTTGGAGACGATGACGCCAATCTGGAAGAAGACTTTATGAGGTCTAGCTTGCCTAAGATAATCTTATGAATTTCATCGTCTTAGATGGCGCGAGGGATTCTTGCCAAAGGTTGCTGATCTCTTCAACTGGGAAGTCAACACGAACATGGAGACCATGAGACAATACAGACTCGAACTAGTTCCCAAAGAAAAAGTCATCCCAACCTTCCATGTAAAGCTTACCTTTAAAACTGATATTGAACTTTTGAATTCAGGGAGAAATGGGTCGTCTGAATGGCTTCGAGAAGTTAAGACCACCTTTCGATATGAAGAATCCTTTCTATTCAACTGTACTCACCAACAAAGAACTTCACAGTGAATTGAGTGACCGTAGTTGTCGGCACATTGAGTTTTCTACCATTGATGGTTTGTCCAAAACTTCCAAAACAAGATCTTTGTCTTATTGTAGGTTTCCGCTACGAAGCTGGAGATCATTTGGCAGTATTTCCAAATAATGACGAGAAATTGGTTGACGAAATAGTGAATCTTTTGAACTTTGATCCTAATCAAGTGAGATTGTGTATAGTAACCTAGTGTCGACAATCGATTTTTAGGTTTTCCGTTTGATCAACGTTGATGAGGACTCTTCCAAGAGAAATCCTTTCCCATGTCCCACAACATACAGAGAAGCTTTAGTCTATTACGTAGACATTTGTCAACCAATTAAGAGTCACGTTCTCAAAGTAGGCAAAACATCGTCAATTGTTCCGCATTGTATTTCTCATTAAGGCCATCAGCGAGTATTGCACTGATGAAACTGAAAAGAACAATCTTCTGTTACTTTCGACTGCCAGCGAAGAAGGATTGGTTCGCCTAGACTCTAGTTTTCTTATCTATTCCTTTCCTATTTACAGAAGAAATATAATACTTATGTTTGTAAAGAGCGTCGATCAATCGTTGATATCCTGAAGGAACATCCAACATGCAAACCTCCAATAGATTACCTCTTGGAACTTCTTCCTCGACTTCAAGCCAGATACTACAGTATCGCTTCATCTCCAAAAGCTGATAATAAGATTGTAAATATCTCTTTTCTGTCAACTCATGATATGGTCCTATTTGAAGGTTGCCGTCTGTGCCGTCGTCACCAAATACAAGATCGGAGAGCGTCAATTGAAAGGAGTTTGCACTAACTACCTTCTAGATAAGGTAGTCCAGGGTTCGAGAGTATAATCAAAATCAATGCTTGTTAAGCCTGATGGAACCAGAGTTGCAATTTATGCCAGAAAGTCTACCATGCGTTTACCTCATCGCCAAAACACACCAGTCATCATGATCGGACCCGGAACTGGTTATGCTCCGTTCAGATCTTTCATTCAAGAAAGAGCTTTCCACAAGCAAAATGGTTAGCTCTACTGTTTTTTTTTTCATCTGAAATTAATTTTCTCAGGTCGTGAGACTGGAGAAATGCATTTGTACTATGGTTGTCGTCACCCTGATCAAGATTACATCTATCAGCAAGAGATCGAAGAGGCTGTCTCAGAAGGAGTGATCACTCAATTACATTGTGCTTTCAGTAGAGCCCAAGACAAGAAAGTGTATGTACAGGTATGTATGAGAAAGAGAGATAGTTTTGAAGTCATACTGTTAAGGATAAACTTTGGGAGTCCAAAGAAGCTGTTTATAAAATAATTTCCGACGGCGGATATATTTATGTGTGCGGGTATGTTTCTTTCCGTTTTGAATCTGGTTTCTTGCAACGTTTATGCGAATTGTCAATGTCTTGGCAAGTTTAAAAAGCTGTTACATGACGTTCCCGGTTGTCACTTGTCATGAAGCTTCGAATTCTCGTCAAACTAAAATATAATTGAAGGTGCAAGCATTAGCTAAGGACTACTTCTTTCAGAGACGCGCGTTGTATGGCCCGTGATGTTCAAGCCACTCTTCTTCGGATATTTAGAGAAGAAGGTGGCAAGACTGAGCAAGAAGCTGCAGCTCTATTCAAAGATCTTGAAAAACAGCGTAGATATCAAGCTGATGTCTGGTCATAACTTCTAACTCATCCTTCTGAGCTTGAATCTTGTTTCTTAATCCAGCCCCCCTCCCCACACCACAGTCACCACGCTTTCATTCTGTTAGACATTTTAGCATGTTGTCCGGAAATTCATATTTTTGTATTTCCTTTAATATATTTTGACTTAAACTACTAAGAATCTTCATCATCATCATCATCATCTTAAGGTTTTCACATCAATAACATACACATTAAGGAGAGCTTTTCATAGTTTTTACAGTTTCATATATATCTTGATTTTCCCAGCTTGCGGGTATTTTAAAAATAATTCAAATCAAATAAAGACGTTTTTATGCTTTATCCTTGTACACCACACACATCTTGCATCATCATCATCAACCGTCGTCATCGTTGCCGTCCAAAGAAGGAACCCCACACATGAGATAAACTGAACCATTCGTTAGTACTGAGCCGTCTCGTGCTGTTCACTTTCTGCTGCTCATCTCCCTCACTGCAATCGCTACATATCAACAACAGTTAGTAAGTTCTTGCGTTTTTCATAAAATGCATTCTCATTATAAGATTTCTATTCGGTTTCGAAACGTTTAGGTTACCTGATGACACAAGTCGAGAGTATGATGAAACAGCTAAGGATGGTGAGCATCAAAAACATTTTATGATCCATGTCGTCGTCGTATATCAGCGGGGCCGATTGGAAATTATAGTTTAGATAGTTCGAGCGAGTAGATTAACTGCGTCGTCACGTCGGTAGGTTCTCAGGTTCTGATGAAAAACTGTCTGAATGTTTTTCTTGATCGAAACCAGAACCTTCAAGCGAAACTGAAGGACAATGGATTGATGAATGATCAAACATAACTGTATACAAAAATTTAATAGGAACATCAGGATGGACAAAAGGAAGAATAGGTAGCAAAATCAAAAACAAATACTCGTTCATCTGATTCGTCATCTAGTAAGTTGCCAGAAAAAACATTTTTTTCTCTTTTTGATACTTTTGGTAACATCTTCTATCTCTCTCTCATTCTCTTTCTCTCTCCCAATCACTTCCTTAACCACGCACGTGTGTTTTGATCGCTGTCGATTTCAAAGCCTGATTATTACATTTCAAATCGCCCGCGCTTTATTCTAATTAACTCTAGCACTTTTAAATTTACGGCTTTGTTTACGTGAATATTTCCAGATATCAGTCTGCATCCTGTTGTCCTCATGTGTGGCTGCTGCTGACCTCTCGCTTTGGCATTTGAATTTCGCTTTGCTGAAATGCGATTTTCGGATTTTCGCGTTTGAACTACAAATCATGTTTCTCATGCAAGTCGAGGGAAAGTTCTACTGTTTCTCAAGTTTGAGATCTGGGAGGATGCTATCTATCCGTTCACATGTTCAGAGGTGAGACAGTTTGATAGTGTTTGTGTAGAGTATGTTTCTCATTTTCAGAAATTCCTTTTAGCAACGTATGTGATTTTGATATGGGGAGAAGTATAGCTGTCCTATGGAAGGTAATTTGATTTAATATCTTTTTTCTCACGAGGGCTGCTGTATCATCCTTCTAATTCGGCATGATATATATTTGACAGTTAGAAGCTGAATCTGTCATATGTGAATAGTATGAATGCTGCTATTCACAGTTGCATCCACGTGTTATCACTATTGAATTATGAGATCTCAAACAAATATCCTAATTGGCTGATGCAGCAGCTGCCACGAGTAATCTCTCCTCTAATCCCGTTGTTTTAACTGTCACAATCTTCAGCTTGCGCTATATTAAAATGGCGATTGCATTCTAGAGCCATCTAACATGACAACCTCTCATTTTCATTTTTGCATCAGATGAACATTCGCTAATCCGCTTAATTCACTCTTTGAAGTTTCTTTTTTTTATATTAAAGTTAGTTAATGACCTTGCTTTTTGTGAATTTTTGAACGGCGCACTTTAAAGGCCTTCCCTTCATCTCAAAGAAGGGTAATTCATAACTTTTTCTGCTTTTTTCTTGTTAAAATACGAAATACAATAAATTAACCTCGCTTATACATATTCTCTTCTTCTTCTTCTTCTTCTTTTTCATTATTCAATTTGTTTCAGAGAGAGAGAGTGAATTCGCTTGCTATAAATGCTGTTACTGTATCCATCAACTCATATGTCATCGACCTCTCAAGCCGTATCGCTACATGGCCATTCGCTGTTTCAATTGGATAAGGTTCGACTTTTAGAATTTCATTTTACCTTTCATGTTTGTTGATAAGTTTTGATGCGCACTAAGGGCGTGGGGGGATAGGCGGGTAGTTGAGTTGAGAGGAGGAGAAGGAGGAGAGATTGGTAGAATATGGAATCATCACACACATTACTCGGAACATTGATTCAGCCATTCTTCTCTCATTCTCAAAGTGTTCGTAGTTTTATCTTGTGGACTTTTTTTTTGCACTTTACGGAATGTGCCGACTGTCATGGACTGTTTCTTGTATGTATTCAAACTATAAGTACGTTTTCATCTATACTCTAGCGTGGTTTGAATCTTCTTTTTTTATAAAATAGTTGACTGCTGGCGGGTCCTTTGCTCATAAGTCTAAACGAACTCATATCATCTTTGCTCTAGGCTCACCTGATCTTTGTTTAACTTGCTAAAATCTTATACTGCACCCGAAAAGTAATCTAATTGATCGATAACTTGTTAGATAATATAATTTTTACATTGAAAATATACTTTTTTCAATCTATTCACATCCCATTCTAATAGCTCATCTGGATTTGCATTCATCTATCTAATGAGGAAAGTTAGTTGAGATGAAGGAAGTGTCTAGGAAGAGGAGCAGGTGCAATTGTGCTACCCTAGCCCTGCGTCTTGTCCGCTTCAGATGTGCCTACTCTCCGTCTTTTTGGCGATGTATCGTCGGCCTTTTTAAGTAGTTGTCTTGGGTCTGCTACTGCTTTAGCTATGCATGCTGTCTGTTTCTCTAAATGCATGTCTTCTCTGTATCCTTTTTTCCCCCTTTTTTGGCGTGCTGCATTCATTCACTCATCAGTCTGAACTAGCTTTTGGGGCTGACTCACAAAAATCTTTCATTCTATTTGAATGCCATCCATGACTAACTCTCTACAACATGGTAGCTCCCTTCCTTTGCCACTTGTTGCCTTATTCGTTATCTATATTGAAGTTTGTTATTTGTTAACGCTGTTTCATTTTTCTTTTTAACAATTTTAACGATGCAGTTTGCTTGCCAATACAAATTGCATGCTTATCAGATGTATCCCCCCCCCTTCCCCTTCTACAGCCCCTCTCTCTCTCTATGGTAGAAGTAGCCTGTCCTGCCTGGTCATGATATCAATTTTACCTTTTGACATTCATTTGAATCAATCAGTTGACTATTTCTCACTGGCTATATTCCAGATGATTTATTGTTTCTGAAGTTTTCCAACTTAAAATTTATTTGGCTGTCAGACGTTCCTGCTGATGGTTTAGATCCGTTTGCCTTAACTATTTATTTCTCATCTAATCACTTTCTCATATATCTATATGCTCACAACTGTTTTCTGTGCTTGCTCGTCATTTGAATAATGGTTTGTTATATAACTGTATACTATCCAACAGATGCTGGTTTCACTGGATCCATCTCACGGACACAATGCGCCTCTGAATGACCGTGAAACTATGAACATACGCTTCAATCATGGTGCTCAAAACACGGTAGAGATTTTTTGGTTTTTTTCCCCGCTGCTCCATCCTTGATTGCTTGATATTCGATTCGAATCAATAATTTTGAACAAACAATACTGCCTGCTTAACAGTTAGGTGTAAATTTAATCGCCATCACTGGTGTCATATGTAGTTAAGTGCTAGGATCCTTGTCTTGCAAGCAATTAAACGCCAACACCGTTCTGCCCTCCTGACTGATCGGATGTCATCGACGACCATCGTTTCTATCCAGCTTAATCATTATGAGCTTTCACTGTTTGCTACTGTCCAATCGCTGGGGGATCTTATCTTGAGGCTTTTGCTGATATGAAGTTTCATATTGCCTACTCCCCTAACTCAATATTATTTTTGGGTAGAAAGCTTTTGCCATATACATATAAGGGTATTTCCTTTAATGATTTCTGATCTCTCTTGGTTTATAGTCTCTAAATGCTCAGTACTCTTTACATAACCTATCCTTTTGGCTCTTAGCCTCTGTGTCAGTATTACCACCCTGAAGATCTTTGATCGGTTATGTATCCTGTTAGGATCTAATATAGGGTAGATATAGTTAAGCTGACTATGCGTGAGAGTCAATCGCAAAGATAAGATGAACTGTGAACGGCATAATGATGCATCTCTTAAGTTATTAGAACTGGTGTCATCTATGATCATTGAAAAACACATCTATTACTTCGTCTTCTTCTTCTTCTTCTGGATTCACAGATTAATTCGTCGATATCTTTCATCCAGTATAGTATAGTTTCCCATCATTGTATGCCATTCCTAATGTATCAGCTGCATGGCGCGAATAGCTCTCATATGATTTCATACGAAAAATGCAGATGGTATCCTCCTCTTTCACCTCCCCAATCCAATCCTATAATACTGAACATCCGCGAAATGAGCTGTTCGTTTCGCTGTTGTTAATATTTCATTCATGTTTTCTCATTATCGTATTGTTTGTTCAACAACTGTTGGATATTATATATATTATATATATATATATACATGAGAGAAGCATGAAGAAGCAGTTACATGGTGCGTGTGCATACTTCTTCTTCATCTTTCTTGTTACCTAAGTTCAGCATGATGACGAGGCCATCGTTCTCATCAGAAGTTGTCCTTGAGCGAACAGACGCTACCACCAACCTGATTTGGAGGATGGATTGCTCGATCTTGGCCTCTTGGTCAGCAGAGGCAACATCCGATTCATGTTTTTTTCGGCGTCCGATTTCATCTTTTTTTTCCTTCTTGTGTTCGTCAATCGATTTTCGAATTCTAAAATAGTTTTCTTTTAAAAAACGTTACAAAAAAAAAGTTTCCCCGTTCATATTCTCGACAGTTCATTGAAATGAGTCGAAGACTCTCGCAATCTTCATTCGTCCAGCGATTTTCTTATTCTCCTTTCATTTTCAAAAACGTTTCTAATTCTCCTATCGTGTACAGTCAAGCAGTTCAAATGCATACTGTCATACACTACTCCTACTCTTCTACCTCCTCCTCCTCCTACTCCTTTGACTATGTTAGTGTTTTTTTTTCATATTTTAATGAATAATCTATTATAACAGATTGGCTTTCGGCCCTTATGTTTGATAGAAAACTACTGTTTATACAATAGCGTCAGGTCTTTAGAAGCGGTTAGGCTAGCCTGGGTGTGCTATTTGGCCAGTCGCCAACGATAGCCCGCCAAGATGGACCCCGTGATGTCCGACGCTCTCATCCATTGCATCTTACTCTTTTCCTCTCACTCACAACACATTTACCTACATTTGTGGCACGCTAAGCTTTTGCTATCATATTTAATAACAGCAAAACTTCAAACCTCGACGCTAATCTATCTTTCTCTCTCTCTCTCCCTCCCTCTCTACCATTTGATATAATGCGCTTTCATATTCAAGAAACTCATGACTTTCATATTCTTGTACCAGACTCTCAGAACGGTTGATACCAAGATTTTGCGCACACTATCCTCGTGTACTCCTAAGCTGTTTATGTGCGGTTTGCACAAGTACAAACTCCATATAATGATACTTGAACACTGAACTTTGCTTTCTCTTTTTTTGTATATATCCTTATATATATAAAACAGGGAGCATAATATATATATCTAGTTAACTATAAGAGAGAGAAAGAGAAATAGTATCTATGCAACTCATCTACACGCTTACCTACTTCTTCTCTCCGTCTTCTTCCACCTATTTCATTCTCAGTGATGTGATGTATGCTCATGTCGTTATTTTTGATTTTCATCAAATTACGACTTCACTTTATCACAGTTCCTATTATCTTTTCTCCGTTTTTCGCATTCCTCCTTTTCCCAATGTTTCTGACGTTCTCCTCCTCGCTCCTCAACACTACCTCGTTTTGATTCCGACGATGCTCAAATGCATTGGTCTTCTTGTTTGCTTTTTCATAAAAAAAAAACCCAGTCGTATGTTTCCGTTCTTCTATTACGTTTTTCTAGCTAAACTTCTCAATTATACTCACTCACTATCCTTATCATATAACACATTCGGTGATATTTGTAATTCTTACCACCTCAATGGCTCCAGCAGCATCTTCCGGTTTGTCCGCATTGAAACAATGTCAAATAATCCATTTTCTTTTTTTTCTTTTTCCCCCATTTTATTGATGAGATTATAAGTAGACGTCTATCAGGCTCCATAATGACGTTACTTTATGATCTCTTCTCATTCCATCATCACAATACCGTGCTGCTTGCTTAAAATCTATGAAAAGCAGACGTTATTTCAATACCTGCTGCCTTGACCGCCTGACCCCACTGCTGCATTCCTCAACGAATTTGATGAACAAGTTAGCACATATCGATTGCTTCCAGAATAGTGACAACAGTTGTTGTTCTTCGTCTTCTTCTTTATAATTAGAATTAGTTTGTACCGAATTCTTGTTGCAAACAGGCCAGAGTCACTCGTATAGGAGAGTGATTAACCATCCTCTTCCATCTCCACCCCCTCTCTCTCTCTCTCTCTCTCTCTCTCTCTCTCTTTCACTCTCTTTATCTCTCTCTATATCTATCTATCTACCTCACTCCTCCTACTTGTTTACTCTATGTTTATATTCCATTCCACAACTTTGTTTATTTTTTGCGTAGCTTTATTGTTATCAATGTGGTCAGTGATTATCGATTAAACCTGATCAATGCAAAACAATATCCATTTTGAGTCATAACTTACCTATTGTTAAGGCCTATCACCAAATTAATTTATAGTTTGATCAAATATCTCTTTATGTTTCCCATCACGCCCACTTCCGGAAGTTGTTTATTTCTTTTCGTTTTTCGAAACTTCCCGCATTTCCATATAGGATCCTACGAGAGGCTAACACTAAGACTAAGTGTATTCTTTGTAGTTCCAATTTTGGGATGCGATTCACACACTTACCTATTATTATAATTGTTTATATAATTTATTTTTCGCATAGTTAACTATATCATCTGAAGGCTCTCATATCATCTCATAAGCTGCGGCTTCTCTCACATGCTCATATCAAGTTCGTGTTAATGCGGTGTCCATTTGTTTTCATTATAGGCCATGAATGGGTTCACAAAAAAAAAGCGCGATCTTTAGCCTATTGTAGCTGTTTCCTTTCTTGCTTTGTTGTTTCTCTCTTTCGTAGTAGTTGTTGCATAAGGAGTGAGAGAGAGAGAGAATGAAGGAGGAGTTCTCGATGACAATTGTTTCGGACCGCTGGTAGTTCCGCATATCTTGATGCGGACAACATATGATCTTGGTAAGAAAACTGATTGCAGCTTTCTATGCAAGAGACGAACCAAGGGAGAGAGTGGGGTTGGAAGAGAAGATTCTTTTGAAGTTGCATAGAGCTAGTTCTTTTTCAAAAACAGGCGATCTTTCTCGACAAGGTTGCTTAGAGAGTGAATTCAGCGTATCGCATCATCTTTTATTTATAGTTAGAAAACTGTATTAATCATGATCAGTTCAATATGTTCTTTGGTCTTTCTCCTTTGTTTCATGCTGTGAATGTTTTGTCCTTTCTTTGAAGAAGCTTAATCCCAAGTAACGGCTGTTGATATACTCTCTATCTCAATCTCTCTATGACTCTCTCTCTCTCTTCTTGCAAAGTTTTCCCCCGTAGTGTGATCATAACAATCAGCAGGCGTGAGCTTGTCAATGCTGAATTTTCCGCAGTTTTTCCATTATCCATCTCTTGCAACTTTGATTTTTTTAAACAACTGCGTTTTTGTGCTAAAGGTTGTGTTCACGTGATGTTGTCAATTCCTCTTTAACTGTCTTCCTCCTATATTTGGAAATACTTTATGTCAGCCATGTGTCAGCCGTGTTGTAGAGCGGAGATGGTTGAGGAGTAATGGTAGAGGAAGAGGTCGCTTGAATGACTGGGTTTCGTATGGGGTGGACTCAGTCCTCGTCCCCCTCTCCCCCCATCTATTACGGTCTGTGACCCTCTTAACTCATCGTGCTGCCTACGTCAGGGCGCTGTCCGCGCCTTCTTTTCCGCTGTGTGTTAGCAATCAGCCAAGGCCTGGCACGTGGCCAAACATTTTTTGGCGTTTGTCCAAGTGCCGAAATTTCAAGTTCTACTGTTTAATCGATAGATTTTTGCGCCTTTTCTGACGTACATGGAAAGTCAGCTGTGCTGCGTTCGACTGTTCCTTTATCTGTAGTCATGATAGTCCAGTTCTTGTAGTCTCTTACGTTGAACCGAATGTATTCTTGCTTCGAGCCGTTGATCTCGGATTTTTTCATAGTTGATGGAGATACTAAAATTTTGTTTTACAGGTTCCCCATCGGGATTCACATCTGAGCCGACACCAGCTAAGTAGTGTCCGACTACCCAATACTCGCTCCACGCAAAGGTGAGTCTATATCTATATCGTGAAAATGTTGCCAAGAATCGTGAAAGAAGAGTTCTCAATGAATGACCTGAAATTTGTTGCGAATGTTGTGGTCGTCCTTCGCCCACGTCTGCAGTCAATGTTCTCAGTATTCTTTTTCAAAAATAGTCAACTATCCCATTCGTTGCTGTGTACTTCTGATGTGAGAGTTCTGGGTGGTTTTCAATCTTTCCGGCAGAAGCATCATCAATCCCCCCCACATGCGTTCATTTTGGTTTCCTTGGTTCGACCTACTGTGGTTTTAGCATAGTTCTGTACCTGCATGATTATGTCACCATCCTCTTCTTTTTTTTTCTCACTTGTTTACGCGAAAGACTGTTCTGAGTTCTTTTCTTTCGATTGACCAACGATCTTTCAAATTGACAGATGGACGGCGGTCTTTTTTTACAGTTTGCGCTCTTTCTTCTTTTCTGATAATAATTTTGGTTTTCTTCCGTCAGTTAGGATATAGAAGCCATAGTTTGACTCTTCGTCTTCCCTGATATCTTTTGCGTTCGACACTTTAATCATAAACTTTCGGTTCAGAAGTTATTTCAGGATTTGTGTCCTACATAAAATCTTGTACATACCGGGTGGTCTGTGTAATGGGGTTCTTCTGCTTTATTCGTCCCCCGGGTCCTTCAATGGTGTATGATCATTTGCATATAATGGATAAAAGCATGTATGGGGTATGCTTCTGTCTCACAACTTTTGTACATCGTTTGTAATTATCTCAAGAACCTGTAGTTTTCTGTTTTCTTTGGACAAAAAAACGTGTTAGTGCCCATGGTTTCGTTCTTCGGTGATTTGTTTAGAATATAATCTCAACTGTGATGATGATGATCAACTGGATTTCTTAAATACTTTTGAATTCATGAAGAACTATGCTATATGTGTCTATTCTCAAATATGGCTTCTCTCTTACCATTTCAATTTGACTTGTTTCAGTTCGCATTGCGATCAACCGGCTCAACGGATCAACATGTCTCCGGGACAGAATCCGCAATACAACAACCACAACAACAACAATCACACCAACAACCACACCAATAATCATACCACCGCCAACAACAACAATAATGGAAATGTTTATGGAGGAAATCCTCCTCCAGCAGTAGGCGGAGCTCCTCAACAATCCCAACGCAACCCTAACGGTGCTGGTTTCTCATATCATCAATATGTAAGCGAATTTTTTTAAACTTCCAAATTTCATGTGCCCTTTCCAGAATAACAGAGGTGGTGGTGGAGGTGGAAACTACTATGGTAGTACTAATGGTGTTGGCATGGCTGGCAGGACAGGATTTGGAATGCCAAGGGACGGCACACCAGTTCAAGACGTTCAACTCAGCTCTGTAAGTTTTCAACTGTCTTAGTGCCTTACGATCTTTTCTGTTCAGACTAACTTGTACATTAGGGGATTAGCCCCAGATACTTCTGATGAGTACTTGAGAAATCTATGCAAGCAGTACGGTCAAATCGCTTCAACTAAAGCTATTATGGATAAGACGACTGGCTCATGTAAAGGATACGGTTTCGTTGATTTTGAAACACGGGAAGCCGCTCAGAGAGCTGTTGAGGAACTCAACACCCGTGGAATTCAAGCTCAAATGGCTAAGGTTCGTTTTATATTTTTGATAATAGTAGCTGCGAACATGACTAACTTGAAAGATGATAAGCCTTCGCAATTATAGCTGCAACAGCAAGAGCAAGATCCTACAAATCTATACATTGCCAACTTACCGTCTCATTATAATGAGCAACTATTGGAATCGGTCCTTACTCCTTATGGTATGGTTATTTCCACTCGTGTTCTTCGCAACGCTGATGGTCAAAGTCGTGGAGTTGGATTCGCTCGTATGGATTCTAAGGTACTGTTGTCAAAACATCGTTCTGTCATTCATTTGTGCTGTTGCAGGAAAAATGTGAAGAGATCATAGAAGCTTTGAATGGTCAACGTCTCTCTGATATGTCAGGAGATCATCCACCTCTCTTGGTTAAGCAAGCAGACACTGGAAGAAAATCTAACAGAAAGCGTAACGATTTCTCAATTGAAATGGGAATGTTCCAACAAGCTCAAGTAAGATCTCAGCAGATTCACTGTGATTTCACATTAATGTCTTCAGCAATTCATCTCTCATGATTATATGGGTCGTATGGGCACTATGCCTCAAATCTATGGACATCAGTTTGTAAACTACGGAGGAATGGGATACCAACAGATGAGCTATCCTCGTAAGTCTCCACACTCAATTCATGGTTATTAATCGTTGTGCTTCAGAACCTCAACACTCTCAGTATGATACCAGCGTCAATGCCGTAGTGAACCAGATGAGCAATGTACAAATCAGCAACCAAGGTGCTTCAAACAACGAGAACGCTTATATGTACGGAACACCACCACAAGGACAACAGTTTTTCCTTAACAACAGAAAGGTACGAATCGCTTGTTGCGTACGACTCTCTTAACTGCATTCGTTATAGAACGGACCTAACAATACCAACAACAACCATCAGAGCGCTTACTCTTCCGTTCAGGGAGATGAACATGAGTATAGAAAGCATGCCGGCCAGGTTTGCTAAACTCTTAAGCACGGAGTTTATCTATCGAGGTTTAGGTCGGTCCTCAATAGAAGAAAACCCGTTAATCATCACGTTCATCTAGGAACGTTAATTGTTCAAAAAAACATTTTCATACAGTTTAGGAACTGATGGCACGTACCTCCCTCCCCCTCCCTTTTTAATCCTATTAAGAGTTACATAGTGTGCATATATTCGTTGGTGTCGTGTCGTTAGGTGGTCATAGTGCTGAAACCATCATATTTACTCATTTTGGTAGTAATAGGACCACTTGCGAAATGTTGTGGTAGCAAATTGTTAAGCACACTGTTTTCATTGACAGTGTCTCTATAATACTCATTTGCTAATGAACCGCCCTTTAACCTCATCTATATCTACCGTGTCATTTTTATCATATTTACACCATCATATTCTTGTTGCAACATGTATCTCTCTCTCCTGCTCCTCTCTCTCTCCTCTCTCTCTCTCTTCTCTCTCTCTCGCTCTGTCTCTTGTTCCGCTCTCGTTCTCTTATCTTACTCTCCAGGCTATCACGGAGTTGTTTGTTGTTTTCTGACACACAGGTATAGGCACAGCTCACATAACCCCTTATATCTAATGTCTAAGGGGTCTAATGTAACCAACTTCATAAATTGTCCCTTAAACTGTAGAAAGATGATTAAACGGTGTAATTTGTACAGTTTATTTTAGCTATTGTTGACGCATTCACATTCTTCTCATTCTATCCCTTTGTTTGGCATTCGGTGTTAAATATGAAGTTACTTCTCGGGAGCTTCCTGTTCGCTGAGATTTCTATTCTTGATTTAAGTTTAAGTTTATTACATACGTAAGAACATGATGATATTCAAAATTCAATTTTATATTTATCACCTTTTGGAGAAACGATGTAAGAGCATCTTCCACACCCCATCCCCCTTCCCCTCCCATCTCCCTATGTGTTGTCGTTGTTACTTCGAATACGAATAACTCGACAGACATGCTTCTTCCTCGCTTTTCTTGAAACTGTTCAGAACGCTAAAGTAATATATAATGTAATATTGCTCTATTTATTTACACGTATAAGCTTAGGCACTTCTGCGTTCTAATGCCCAACAAGGCGTTGTTCCTCTCGTATTGTATTATTATTAAATCGTTTTATTGTGTATGCGAGACTTCAGCTTTTGTATTGTCTAATCTACCTGAAGCTTCTCCCTTGTATTTGTGCCTTGGTTTATTCTGCTAGGAATTATACATTCGAATGATTGTAATTTCACCGAGAACATTGTTCTCTTGTAAATACTGAAAACCGAATAAAGGCATGTTGGATCATATCTCTGTGTTTTGATTACATAACTACACTCTCTTGATGAGTGCAAATTGAACACGTGAAAATTTCATTTTAAAAGACAAAGACGTGATGAGTGGTTGTTCTCTACACTATCTTTTCCGGTCATTCGTCACTTGAGCTCCTGCTGATAACAGTGCTGCTCTTTTCAAAATCTGAGCAAAATACTGGTTGCAGAAGCCAATGAACACTCCATTTCGTTTTTCAGAGGGAATCGAATAGTTCTGTTGGGAAAAAGTTTTCTTTAAAGAAAATATCAGGTTGGGTTCAATAGAACAAATTGCGGAAGGAGAGACCTCAAGAACATGAGTGAACCGATTTGTTCTCTCAAAGAATTTCTTTGACCCTTGATCTCACGTGGCGCACGTGGGACTTTTAACCTTTTCATTTCTTCTTACGCGGCCATAAGAAGCGGTTGTTCTTTAAACTATCTAATCGAATCACTCTTATACTCAGAAGATAGCTCCTATTCATCGAACTCAACGAAATATTCATGAAACTAGGTTGAGATCGACAGGACAGAAACATTTTGGGGTACGGTAGTTTAGAAATGGTTGCCTATCTGGCGCGAACATGAAATTTTTGAAGAGGGAGGTGTAATTTTAATATATATATTTGAATATTTTCTAAAATTCAGTTTTCTTATGTTCTAATGATGAATTGAGAGATTGTTAAAAGAATTATGTTAAAGAGATGGCTGATAGTAGTGTCAAAAGGATGAAAGCCCTTATACAGGGAACGATCTCGGCTCTTGGTTTTCTGGAAGATGGAAATTATTATCAGGAACCGGATTGTTATGGTGAGAATAGTACCAAGTCATTCAACTGAATAGCATTCTTAAGAAAGTATAAGGGATCTTATTAGATTTCTAAAATCTGACACTGATGACTGTTTGGCAAGAAGGATATGTGGTGAACGTAACATAGTTGAGAATGATCTAATACACATAATGAAAGCAGAACAGGGTAATGAAAAAATGTTTGATATAGTTCTGCGGTGAGTTGCTTTCTCGTACATAGTCAATGAACTTCCTTATACAGATTGATAGCCAATCTCATTCAACCAACATCAGTCAGTTTATCAGGCAAGCCTCCTCTCGAAACGGCGGACTATCAGTTATTATACAAGTTAGATGAAAACCTTAGGTGAGTATCACAGTTGACTGTTGTGAAGTTCAAAAGTTCTTTGAAGACGGACGAAGTCTGCTTTTGCTGATAAGGAGTTTTTTATAATTTTGAAGACTAGATTAGAGAAATATTTCTTGAGAACGGTGAGTTCGTGTACTTCCGCGCTTTCATAGAAATCTCATAGGAATGGGATGATCGAACTGAAGACCAGAAGTTGATAATGGAAAGAATAGTCGTACTTATGAGATATATATTTACCATCCCTTCTGGTAAAGGAGATGATCGGGTTTGTTAGTTTTCTGAAAACTCCTTCCAATGCCTTATGCTCAGCGGACCAAGTTAGAAACTAACACTCATGACAAAGTAATCAGTGCGTTCGTGGAATCCGGAATAGTTGATGTATGTGTATGCTCTTGAAACTTCTTTTTAACTTCTTTCTAACCAGGTTCTGACTCATATCGCTTCGACTTCTGGTGAACGTGATTTCCATTTATCTATTCTGCAGATTTTTGGATGTATAGTTAGAGAGCACGTATGTTCTCGTTGAAATGACTATTCCTCTGAATACTACTTCTAGAGCCCAGCTGATATAGTCGCTACTTTCCAAGGAAGAAGTGAGGAGGAGAAAGCCAAGTCTGAAGCTGAAATGCAGATGATCTTCCAAACAGAATTGAATAAGGACAAAATCATGAAAAGGAATGCTATGGCAAAAAGACATTCGAGGTTTGTTGGTCATACCAATTGCTGCTCATTTGGAGGAGTTTCAGATTCACGGGATCCTATGTGGTTAAGGGCATTCAAGCGGTTAATAAAGATAATGATTTCGTTGTTCACAAGTAAGTTTTTTTCACGTCTGATCATTCTCATTCAATTCGAAGAGTCGTTGATGATGTGTCAAAGATTACCTTCAACGATGAACGCAAAACAAAGAAGCGAATTGCCAAAAACAGAAGGTGGGTTTATTCCCTATGCAGTTTTCATATGTTGGTTTGCTTCAGACCTTTTGAATCCAGTGATACAACCCATACTTCATCAATTGAAGTGAGACTCCAACTGAAATCATTCATTGAGAAGGTGTTAGAGAAAGCATTCAATGTTCTTATGAAGTATTCGAAAGAACTGGTAGAACCTATTTTTCTGTGAATGACTAAGTGGACCTTTCAGGCTTTCAATATGAGAACAGTTCTTGGTCAGAAGAACGCGGAAACGCATTATTTCCTGGTGATGAGGTTCTTCTTGGAGTATACACGTCTATCCAAGCGCCCCACGTCATATGTAAGTTAGGAACTATGATTTCAATTGAAAAATGCTTGTAGGTGTCCTCTTGTTTGGGCATGGAAGCATTTCATCATCTCCAAATCCAACTTGAGGAAGCGTTAGAGAATGCTGCTTCGCAACGCAAGGAAGCTAGGCATTTTGGTATGAAGGCTCAGTATGCTCTTGCTGCTTATAAGGAATTGATTCTCATGTAATTAATTATATACCCGGGAAACTTTTTGATGATCCGTTCTTCTAGACATCAACACATGCTCGACATTGGTAACCCTGATGAGAAGAAGCTAGCTCAACGAACATGTGAGCATATTCTGAAAGTCGAAGAGTATCGCGATCTTACTGCTGGGGTTATGCGTCGCTTTATGGTCAGCAAAGTTAAGAGAAAAGTAGATATAAACTCAATTGCAGCCTGGAGCCTTCTCGAAGGGTTTCTTGAGAGAAATAGTACTATCAACTCATTTCTACTTACGTATGCTCGAGAAAAGTGTCAAGGCAGGTAGTTTAACGACGGTTAACAAGAGACAGAAGAAAAGGAAAATACGTAAGAACGGTGAGCCTCTCGTGCTTAGTAGTAGATAATCTTGGAGTTCAGGTACTAGTGGAAGCCATAATCAGGCGCCGAAACGAAGTGAATGTGATAAAATTGAGGGAGAAACACTAGACACTCTTTGGTGTAGCATATCACAAGAGCTTAGTGAGTGCTTAATGGGCTATGTCGAACCTGCAACAACGAAATCTCCGATCAACTCTTTGTTGGACGTCAATGATGAAGATCATCAGCGGTTTGCAATGCTGTACATCCAAAGAGCTATGAGAGAAGAAGATGTTCAAGCTGCCGTCGGAATCTTCAGAAACGCTCGCGATATTTGGAATGCTGAAGGTGTGTTACAAGCCTCTGCTTAGACGAGTTTAGATATGTTTAGGAATATTTGGTGATAACAACATGAGTCCTGAAGAAGAGTTCTGTGAGCTGCGTGAGATTTTCTTCGGAGATTTGGAAGAGGTGCGTTTACTTCAAACCTATTGAAGTTCCTCGTGTTTTCAGATAGCTTCTGCTTTACTAACCGCTGAAACAACTAGTGATGAGCGATTCAGAGGAAATGAGTTGATGAATGATGGTGAATATGATAGTGAAGACGAGGATGAAGCTACTTATGAAACCAAAGAGGTATGGGCATTGTCTTAGAGGTGCTCTTCCAGTTTTTTCTTTAGGTCAACTTCGACTTCGAAGAATACGTTGGCAAGTTTGCGAAAACGGAGATTCTTAGATGGTCTGTTGTTCGTTTCTTATAGTTGGGCTAATTAACTTTTTGAAGGTATGTGTTCTTACTCGCAGAGTTCGACAGGAACAGTTTCGAACTAAACAAGGCGTTGATCAAGATGCTCCACAGAGTTTCTTTCGATTTGAAAATGCCCAGTCGTCTATATCAAGTTTGTTCTTAAATCTCTATTTTGATACAAAGTGGTTCAGCTGTCCTTGTTCCGAGTATTCTATCTTGTGAACGACAAAATGAGTAAACTGACTCCAGAAGAACGCAAAATCAGTCCTCTCTTCGAAATTCACACTTTCGGTTTACATCTTCTGAAAAGGTAGGATCTTCTCCTTGCGGTCAAAAAAACTTTTCATTTTTCAGATTCTTCAATGCGTTCGAAGAGATTGGTGATCGTCTTGCTCCTGAAGTTTTGTTCTGGAAAGGAGCCAAAGAAGTTTACGAAATCGAGCATAAGTTCGAATCGCATTACGAGTAAGTTTTTCTGATTCATCTCTTTGTACGTTAATTTGTAGAACTCGAGAAACGGGTAAGTTCAAATGGCCAGAAGATTTGGAAGAAGAAGTTAGATCACTTCACAAAGAGTATATGGAGATGGAAGACAAGCCTGCAGGTATATCCAGCTCGTAAGACATGAATTCAGATGCTCTTCAGATCTCGACGTACTTGATTTCATCGAACATAATATGACTCAGCCTCGAACAAGGAGACAAATTCATAGAAAATTGAGGGAACAAGGGCTTGAAACATTAGGGTCAAGAATCAACAAAGGGTTGTTCAACTGTTCACTTCTGTATTCTATTCATTCTCTTTCAGAAGTGCTAAGGAAAGATCGTTCCCTATCATAGACTTGAAGGAATTCATCGAAAAGTACAATGCTAACAGCGATTTACAATCAGGTTGTTCTTGTCACATACTTGAATTATCTTGATTTTAAGAGGATCTGGTTGACTACCTAGTGAAATCTCTGCAAGAGAATGGTAAAGGAGAATACTCTCGACCAAAGATTATAAAGCAATTGGCATATGTTGGATGTCCGTATGAGAAGAAGAAAAAATTGTAGTCTGATGAGAATTTTTCTTATTACCTCTTGTTGTGTTCAGGAAAAAGGTTAATCAGCCTTGGGACTCCTGGTTAGAGACCGAACTCAAAAGTATCATCGAAGAGCATAAGCAAGCTTCGGAGAGAGATCCGTTCCTCAGTGAGTGTTCTGCCACTTCCTGCTTTTCAAAACCTATCATGCTTTCAGTGAATATAGTCGATTATGTCTTCCATAAAATTCCTCAAAAGAAAACTCGAAGACAGGTTGAACATAGGCTTGTAGGTCTAGGCATCATTGAAGAGCCTGTAAGGGCTCCCAGAGCATCTAAACCAAAGTCAGCTAAGAAGAAAAAGGATGATTTCCTGGCTGGATCAGATTCGGATAATGAGGGAGAGCAGAGCTCAAGTGAAGATGAAAATGTTTACGACGTGGATTTCGACAAAATTTTCCCGGACAAAACTGGGGAAGAGGAGGAAGAAGTCGAGAGGATGGAAGAAGATGAACCTAAAGAAGAAGAAAAGAAAATTCTGTCAGATATAACCAATGAAACGGATAAAAGAGTAATTTCTATCGGATAATACCATTTTTGATTCACTTTTCATAGGAAAACGCTCAAATGCAATCTGTTCTAGTCAATAGTGATGACGAGATGGGAGATGCTGGTGAACGACGAGCCCCTTCAGTAAGTTCTATAAGTGTATACAGTTCTCATTGATCATTACAGGAGCCTCAAGAAGTAGTAACAGCTCCATTAGTTTCAAAGGTATCACTCTTATTCCAACCCATATCCATAATCTATACTTCAGAAAAGAAAACGGGTAATGATCTCTGATGATGAAGATGAACATAGTAACAATTCGGATGAAGTTGTTGCTCCTGTGCAAGTTGGCACTATGCGTCAATCGGCTTCTCCTGGCGTCTCACCAGTGCGCCCCAAAAAGAAAATTAGTAGAATAATAGATTCAGATGAAGAAGATGAAGCAGCAGTGGTTTAAAAAACTAAAATTGTATATTCCGAATGTAACTGGTTTATTTATTTTTGTTTGATACTGTATTATGCATTTATAAAAATATAAATAGTGAAATCTCGACGAGCTATCTCTCTCTCTCTTTCATATCCGTTCCATTCACAGCGTCAAGTATCTATCATAGTTCAATATATTAAATGTAATCAACTCTTAAGGAAATGGAGGTGAAATGGGATAATCCCATCACTTGTATGGATGTTGGTAAAGAAAAATTAGTTATAATAGGATCATGTGATGGATCTCTTGGCTTAAGCTCGTACAATGAAGACTTAGATTTACAGGTGCAACGACATCAATGTTCGAACTATCATATCGTTTCTTTTCAGATGGCTTGGGAGTTCAGGTTGAAATCCAGTGTCAGAGATGTTAAGTTTGCCGGTGCCCCAGGCGAGCTATATGCTGTAACTAAGAGTAAAGCTATTTGTGCATTCGATGTAGAGACTGGAAAACGGTAACTGACAACAGTTCTTGCTTTGTAATCATTTTGTTATATAGAACAAGATGTATGCTCAATGCCACAACTGACCAACCTAATAAACTCTTTGTTTTCCCATCTATTGCAGCTAGAAAGCATCAGTTCTGTGTAGGTGACGAGGAAGGTGAAGTGAGTTCATCTGTTGTCTTACTCTTCTATGCGTGTTATTCTAGATTAAAACTTTTGATTTTCGTACAAAAGATGGAGTCGTGTGCACATGGAAAGATCAAGAAGAGGTAATTGAATGGAATGAATGAACTTTGGTTCAAGTTTTGCTTCAGAATATCAATGATTTGACTATCGATAGCAAATTCAATTTACTCTCAGCTTCCTCCGACGGTATGTTAACACTCTCTAACCTTTATTCTATTTATCATAAAATACAACCGTTCCGCGGATCTATTCAATTGAAAATGAAAAGTTCAGTCAACGCTATACGTGGCATCCACGTCACGTTGATTATTCTAATTGCTGTAAACTAGCGTGCTCAATGAAAAATATGAAATTGCAGGAACCTTAGCAGCTTACGATTCAAGAAAATGTAAACTGAGGGTGAAAAGTGAGACTATGCATTCCGAGTTACTGTCAGTAGTTGCAACTCCTAAGTAAGATATCGCCTTGTTGCTAGTTAGAGTTATCGTTCTTAAGGTTTGTTTATGCGGGATCTAGAGACGGTCATATCGAAGTTTTCACCGTTGGTGATTATGGTAACATATTGGAACGCATTGAGAGTGGTTTCGATATGGTAATTTTGTGATCATTAAAGCTTTTTTTCAATTTTTGTTTTCAGGGAGTAGACAGCATTGTTCAGTTGAGGCAAGGTCTTCTTCTAACTTCTAGTGAAGCTTCTCCTGATTTGAGGTGAGAGATGGAAGGTCTAAAACGTTTCAAACCTTTTATAGACTATTGAATGTGATGCCGACTAAACGTCTAGGTGTTTACGGTACTCATGGTGCTGAAAATGATGGTATTGATGGTTTAATTGTATCTCCTGATAACGAAGATTTGTTCTCTTACTGCGCTATGAGCGGAACTTTCAAGGTAATGCACAAGTTGTTAAACCGCAATTCACATCTTCATGTTAAGCTATGGTCAATGGAAGAGCTACTTGATGGCATTCCGATCTATACAGCATCTAACATCAGTAAACGGAAAGCCATCAAAAAAGAAGGGTAAGAGACTTTCGATTGTTTTGGTTATGCAATGGCTTTACAGGTTCTTCGATGATATGATGGCTAACAAAAGCAAAAGAGCTAAGATAAGTCGAGAAGACGATGATGATGACGATGATGACGATGACGATGATGACAATGACGATGATGACAATGACAGCGACGACAGCGACGACAGCGATAATGATGATGATGACGACGATGATGAGAATGAGAGTGATAGTGATGGGGATAACGACAACGAAGACGATGATGATGAAGAAGGTGAAGATGAAGATGAAGCAGATGAGGAAGAAGAAGAAGACGACGATGAAGGAGCAGAGAACGACGAAAGTGATGGAGTCTCTGATGATAACGAGAAGCATGATGACAGTGAGGATAGTGAAGATGAAATAAGGAGCAGCAAAGCGAATGCTGGAAAGCAGAATCGTAAAAAGCCCAAGCAACCTGTAGTGATCGATGATGCAGACGCTAACGAAAATACTGATGATAATGATTATGAAGATGATGACTCTGAAGAATCTAGCTCCGACGAAGACTGTCGAAATCGTTTACCGCCTTCTGCTTACGGAGATTTCTAATTACATTGAAAATGCATTTGTATTCCAAAGGACATTGTTGTTTCTTGTTTTTGTTATTCGTGTTGTTATACTACGCTGCTCTGCTGTTGTAATTATAAATTCTATGAAGTTTCCATGTGTGAATGAATAAGTTGTCAGTCGGTGTTACGCCGTTGGCTATCGTCCTCTTCTGATTTGTTTTTTTCATTACACTAACATCTAAGATGCAAAGCTGTGAATTTTGTTTGACGGAAGGACGGGAGTTGTATTGTTGTCCGAAATGTAATGTGAACTACTGCAGTATAAGGTCAGTTCTCGGTTGATCATCCTCTTCTATGTGTTCCTCTCCAGATGTTATCGTAATGAGAAGCATAATAACTGTACTGAGGTTTTCTATAAGGAATGTGTGAAACAGCAATTGGAAGGAAAACGGTTCGAGGGGAACCCTACTGATACGTTTGAAGAACGCATGCAGAAGTATGTTCGCGGTGAAATAGATGAACTTCCAGGTACATCCTTGAAAACAGTAGTTCCAGTCATCCTTCCATTGTAGGCACTGGTAAACCAGAAGAGGAAGGCGAACCAATAGATTCAGATGATGAGGATCCAAATGCTCCCGAAGACAACTATCTTACAAATGTTTTGCAAGATACAATCGATGGATACACTTTGGCCGACGATGAATTGGATCGAAGGCTGTTGGTGAGAAAAAAAACATTTTTTGCTGTTATGAACGCTTATCTTTGAAGGCTATGGGATTAGGAGCAGATGTGGAACAGTTAATGAGCTCACTTACCGACGAAGAAAAAGCTGCGTTCGCTCAACTTTCCGAACAGGTGAGTAGTTGAGTAGTAGGGTTTGTATGAGCTTGTTCAGATTTATCAAAAGGAAGAAGGATTAGGTACGAGTTGCTTTTCAAGAAATTGAGTATTGTTGCGAAGATCGTTTTCTGTGATATGGGTTCACTGTGTATAATAGCTTGTTATTTTTATTTTACAAAGAAATTGTTATTCTTTCGTGCTTTTTTTGCTCCGACCATCGTTCGAAACGATTTTGTCATATCTGAGTATAGCATGGGTTGTGGTGTTTATCATTTGGATGACTTTCTTGTAGAATAACAGAGGATGCTCCGAAGTAGCGTGAGCTCCCTACGACGCTTGGCCACCAAAGCAGAAGTCATTGATGATGGCCTAGCCAGAAAAGTACGGAGTAATCAATGTTTTCAAGTATATCTTTATGTTTACAGGTGTCCTCACTTATCCAGAAAGAAGTCACAGATCAAAAGAACAGATTATTTGCCGTTGTTTATGTGAATGGGCGTCAATGGAAAGTTGGACAAGGTGATCTAATTTCATTAGAAGGAAGCTTACCCTTAAGTGTCGGGGACAAGATAAACTTAGAAAAGGTATTCGAGTGCGTGGCCATCAGCTATCAATCACGGGGTTGTAGGTATTGATGGTTGGTGGAAACAACTTTTCCGTATTTGGCCGTCCTATGCTGGATAGGTCATCCGTTTCAGTTACAGCGACTGTTGTAGAAAAAAGCACTAAGAACCCAGAACTAAAGTACTACCATAACAATCATTATCAACATAAGAATGTGAACTGTGAGTAGATGTTAGGGTGTGTGTGAGCTTGAAGAAGTATTCTGATTTCAGGGCTCAGTAAAGAAACAACAGTTCTACGGATCAATGACATCAACGCAAATGAAAGTTTGACAACGGAATGAAGGAAGCATCTCATTAATTCTTTGTCGTGTAGGGTTCAACATAGTCTCATTGTTATATCATTTGTTATAAATTGTTCTATTTTGTGCTTTTTTTTGTAAATCAGTCAATCGGGTTGGCTAGCCAGAAGATTCTGTGTCAAGACTTGTTCACTTGCAAGGTTATTTTTTAAAAAACATGAGAGAAAGAGAGAACTAATGGAAGAACTAGAAGATGTTGTACTTGTTGCTAACAAATCAAGTTGTACAACCGAGAATGTCAGGCACTTCTGATCGCATCAGTAAGCGAGATGTCTCTGACAATCATGCGAGAAATACATTGTGGCCGATCATTCTAACAACTGGCGTCGTCGTCGTTATCAATTTTGCTATCGTTCAAGACACACAGAGAGAGAGAGAAAGAGAGGGAAAACGACGGTTATTTCTTGTTCTTAACTCTTTTGATTGCGTTGATAGATAGACTAATCACCAACTATACTCTAGTCAAATGCTTGGTATTATCGAAGATGTTCCAGCTCCTGTAGGTATGTGTGATTTCTATTATTCTCTCAACTAACACATTTGAACTTGAATTCGTTCTGTTCAGTTTTACGGTTTATCATCTGTTTGCACATCATTAGACATTGCATTCGCTTGTATCCATTTTATGTTTTGTAGACTCCAAAGAATCTACTCAAGCTTGCTATGTCTGCTCTCATCCTACGGCATCTCCTCATTTCGGAAGCATCTCATGTCTCGCATGTGCAGCTTTCTTTCGGTAAGTCGAACAGAACTGTTATCACAAGGCGAATCCAACAAAATCAATAATGAGACCAAGTTATTTTTATTTGTTCGCGCATTGTGTGCGGTCGCATTCCTCTCAGACTTGTACGTAAACTGTTGTTTCATTTGTACTTTATAGACGAACTGTTGCATTGGAGTTACAATTCAAATGCAGTAAAAATGCAAAATGTCGAGTGTTTCATGGTAAGCTAAGCTTCTTCTTTCTCCTTCCAATGACAGTCTTCAGAGCTTCGAATGTCTTGTCGCGGATGTCGATTCAGCAAATGCTTGAAAGTTGGAATGAAACCGAAACGTTTGTCAGCTCTTCTAGCTTTCACTCATATCAAGCCTTGTAGATGTCTTGAAGAGAAGACCGAATACCAGTGAAATGAAAGATATGCAATCCTTCGAAGAACCGACAACATCTATCTGTAAGCAACTTGGAGTAACATAGTTCTAACTCTTTTCAGATGATCACTGCTCACTCGATAGTCAGATTCCTGAATTAGAAAGCGTTGAGCCTTCTGTAATGGATCCACACTTCTTCGCTCAACCTAGTGATCAATCTTCCTCAGCACCATCATACACTCGGCTGGAAAATCGAATGAAAGCTTCAACTTCTAGTCATGAAGCTCCGCATAGTTCAGGTATAGATAGAATTCCGAGATAGAAACATTCCATATCCTTATAGAGATTACGATTTCCCCGTTAGGCATTGATGGTGTTGTCTTGTTGGAACATTATGTAACTGAGGTACTATGCTTGCATGTAGTGCTCAACTTTCAACTTCTTTTTCAGCTCCATAGAGCGATGGATCGTCGATGTATCATGTTCACTTCTGATCCTTTCCGAGCAATGACCGGCACGTATAACACAGTGGTATGATTCTTGATGACCGATGAAAAACATACATTGTTGTATTATTAAGCCTTATTCATTGAACTTTGAACGCACCCACACAATGAAGGGCCAAGTCGAAGGACAGAAGTTTGATCATCTTCTAGCTTTTGAGTATTGTCAAGGATGTCCCGGCTATGACCAGATGACAGCCGATGAAAGGGTAACATTAAAACATTCATTTTGGTGTTATGTGAAAGAATTTTGAAGATTATGTTTTTCCGTACGGCGACCATGTCGTTCTGTGTCCTTGATATCGCTTGGATAACATCTCAAGCCACAACATTGGAAGATAAAGTAGGTTTGCTAAAACTATTTTGGGTTTAAAGAAAACCAATTGAAGCTCATCATGTACACAGACGGGAGTGTTTCCTCTGTCGAGGATTTGAGCGTTGGTTGGGACGATGAGGATGGACTAAAATCAGAGGATAAATCGAAGTACTCCGTTCTCTAAGTGAATTCAATCCTGTTACTTCTTTCTTTCCAGTTACTTCCTAGGCATTCTCCAACGATTCTACTTTGCCCTAGTCGTTCCTTTCTTTGAGTACCAGTTAGATGAAGTAGAGTATGCAGCTCTGAAAGCTTTCTGTGTGTGGAAGATGGGTTAGTCAGATCTCATACAGTCCTTAATGAGAATCTCCTACTTGAAGGTTATTGTGAGTTCACGCAGCAACTACGAGCAATCGGCAAAGAGCATGAGAGAGGGCTATTGATAGGTCTAAATGCCTATTACGAGGTTTTTGATTGTTTCACAATATTCAGAGGATTGACATATCTATTTTCAGAATCGCGAAAACAGAGCTGAACGATTAGGCAACATAATTCTCCTGATGGGATCAGTGTTTGTATGTCATGAAGCTATATCATATCTGTGTTCATATTTGATTGTTTAGGAAGTCTATCATGCTTTCATGGAAACATATCAAAGTGGTGACCTATTCCGATTATTTCAAATTGATAACATAAGCAAGGAGCTGATCTGGAAATGAAGCTTCTCACATCTTCATCTTCATGTTATATGCCAGGGTATGAATATGTTTTTCGTTTCTTTCTAATCGCATGTACACATTGATATATATAAAATGATATAATTTATCTATGAGATACTACTCATACTGGGTCATTTGTACATACACTTGAGCTTTTAATTATTACAAATGGGAGTGAGATGATGGTTCGGCAATGGATTTACGTGTGAAATCCTTAACTTTTAAATCTGGCAAGTTGGAAGAGATCATCTGAAAGCATTTTTATTTCCAAATCATTCATATATGATATAAGCTTACGGATATGCTGACTGCTTTTTCGGATACTTGTGCAACTTTCGATGACTTGTTCATTGAAGTCCATTTCTGACGAGATGTTTGAGATGTTGATGATGTGTTAGATGACAACTTACTTGCTGTATAAGATATCCGATCCAAATAACAAGGGATATGGCATGGAATGATATCATAAAGAGTCTATGTGGTCCTGGTCCTATATGATCTAGTATAAGGACAGCATAGAAGCCCAGAACTCCTAAGCATCTTGTTATTTCCAAGTATGGTGCATACCATCTGTATATTCATTGATTCATTATATCATTAAACTGTTTTACTAACCGCTTGTCAAAGAATGCTCCAAAGCACTGCATGGTCAATAGGAAGAAGGCTATCTTAAGACTGAAGTCGATGTACCCAAGATGAGAACGATCATATTCAAAGTGGAAAAAGATTGCCAAGAAGAGGCAGAAATGACTCATTATGTATATCCTTTTCCATAGTTCAACCAATGGGTTGTATTTGACTACTGGTTTCTCAGGCTGAATATCATGTATGAGAGTGTGAAAATAAGAAAATAGGTTTACCTCGGGTACACCGTGCTTTGGATCAACCATGCTCATCCAATGGAAGAATGGTATGATTGGCACATTGGGCATCCATCCAGGTGGATATAAAGCAGCTTTGATCTGAAAAGTCATAAGCTCCTTCTCAAAACAGAGTTGAAGTCAAATTTACTTTGTTCTTAACACCCGGGAATATAGGATGTCCTTCTTTATCTTTCATCTGTCCTTTGAACAATAGAATATCCCATATGGTATGGAACTATAATCAGCATGGTTAGTGCATATTCATATATTTGAGATTATACTTGAAGATGTAATTGATTGAAGGAGTCCTCATTCGTCACTAATCCGTAAACTGGTGGGTCATCCTCTCGTTCTGCTTCAAACGTTCCAAACATCTAGAAGGTGATTGGTGGCTTAACTATATCTTACTATGTTATACAAACCTTATCCCATATTATGAATACTCCACCATAGTTCTTATCAATACAGTAAGGATTACGTCCATGGTGAACCCGATGATGAGAGGGTGTATTGAAGACAAAGCCTAACGGACCCATACTACCAATCAGCTGAAACAATGATAAAGCTGAAGATGGATAGATATTGGAGTGGCAACTTACACTTGTGTGCATTATAAATTGAAAAATTTCACTAAAATACCGGTGAACCAGGAATATAGGAGGCGGAATGAAGAAAGCCTGAAAGCATTAGAAGGTATAAGAGTTGAGAAGAGTTCAACCGGGGTGCACGCTACTCGCTTTCGAAAATGAAATAATTCCTTCTCTCTCGCACGTTCATATGTTTCACGTGTTCCACGGCTTACACGTATCTTACGTAACGTTAGATGTTCTCACCTGAATAACGTCATAGATAGCTAAACCAGCATCCTGTATTGCAGCTTGCCTTAAAGCCGTTGAGAAGTTATAGTATTCGGAACTATGGTGTATGGTATGTAACCCCCAGAAGAATCCAGCTTCTTCAATGAAATGCATGGTTAATATGATAAGCAATGTTAATATGATACCATGTACAGCACGATGTCCAAAATAGTACATAAGATCTTGAAAGAATAAGCATAAGATCCATGTCCATGGTGAGTCCCACGGCAGCTCCAACAGACGAAATGTATTCCATACATAGACATAAAGAAATATGGCAACTGTTCTTCCTCCAAATCTTGAATCAGAACATGGTCAAGTCAATACTCTTTGCGTCAGCTTTTTCTCATTTCAATCTAATTGACGTTAATTTCTATTTATGTAAAAAGTTTTTTTGTCTATTTGGAATTATCGTTTGGGTGAGAAGATTGAAGGTATTGAATGCTGTGCCTGAGATTGATGAAACTAGATCTTTCAAGTTTCATTTCCCATCTCTCTCTATCTCTCTATAGATATATGCTTCTCTCTCTCTATCTATCTGCTTCTCTCAGCTTTAATCTTCTTCCTCTCATTTTTTATTTTCTCTTAATTACATGAAGAGGATGAGAAAGGCTGTTATGGTGTTTGTTTGCTACAATATTATCAGAAGATAGATCTATGATAGACTTACTTGAAACACTGACTAAGCATACCAGCACATATAGATGTTATAGAATCATTCATAGCAAACTTGTCATGATGACCCGATACAGCTAATATGATAAACTCAATGATGATGAATGTTATCCACCATGCTGATACTTCTACATTATAGTTTGGCACTTGATCAAGAGATTCAACAGCTGTCTCATATGGAGATATAAGGTAAAAGGCATGTCGGAGATTAGTTAACGTCATCCTAAATGTCATAATGAGCTAATCAATAATGATGATGATGATGCTGTATATATACCTTTCTAATAAACGATGACCTAATGATGTATTAGAGAATATACGGTCGAGCCATGGAATGGCATGAGATACATTTGAAGTGAGCATACTCGCCAATGTTGTCGAAGTGATATTGTCGATGAATGAATTGTCACCCAAACTGTCCTTCATCCTTCATTTACTCTGTAGATATTCAGATGAGAAGATGTCTTCTAATATAGAAAGGATAAGATGAAGTTATTCCGATTGAGAGGTAGAGGAATGAATGAAACGATGGAAAGTAACAAGAGAAATTCGTCGAAGTCATCTCTGATCTGATCAACAAGCAAACGTCATCCGTAAGAATCACTTGAAGACGAATAGAGGTATGACAATGATGGCAAAGCGGATATGAGTATTAATGTGTTTATGGTATATGCAAGTAGAAGAAGCATAGCTAGAAGTGGAAGCTGGAAAAGCATTATGGAATTGGCTTTAAAAGGACACGACCATTTCACATCGTAGGTATCTTCAAAGAGATTGTGTAGGCTTACATGACCAAACATAGAAATATGTTTTAAATGAAAGTAAATGGATGGAGATATCAGAAGAGGACTTTGGAATGTTCCATCAAGCAGTTTTGAGTCACAAAAACATTTGAAATGATGTTCGAATTGATGATGTACAGATGAGAATGAAGAGTCGAAGACGATTTAGGTCAAAAGGAGGCAAATGACATGAAAGTAACTTGTTTATTTGAAATATACTTGTTTCTAAACATTCTCTCTGCTTTGTGCAGTAACAGAGAGTATGGCCTGTTGTTTCTTAAAAGGATCAAAAGCTTTAACTTATCTCCCGAAAATGGTTATTATATGAGATTGACGGGTGCGGTATGCGAAGAAGGGAAGACGGGGGGGGGGGAAAGGGGGATACAAGAGACAGAAGAGATTGATTCATAGATAGTTGAGGAAGATTCCAGCTCAAACATGGATATCGTAAATGTCTTGCAGAGTGCTAACTGGTCACCTTATTGCTGTTTTTTTGGATGAGAAGTAGTTTGTCATTAAAAACAGAAGTCAATGATACGATGGCTGAATAAGCTGAAGGAGTCCGAAGTTGGTTTGTGTGTGCGTGTAAAGCCAGACAGGATGTGAATCACTGTGTTCTTTGAGATTTCCATTGCTTCTCTTTAAGGTGACATCATCAGCATTGGAAGATGAATTAGAAATGAAAGAATGCTTCACCGCAGAGACTCATTTATGGGACATGGCGATTATCGTAATAAACACATAGTTACAGATGAATAGAAGTAATGCGAATTGACAAGTCTAAGCTACGTGTCAGACGAGATAAGAGATGAAGCTTACTCGAGGCTATGAGAAGAATGAAAAAATGATAAAACCTTGGGTGTGTGAAAGAAAAAAAAAGATTGGCTAAACAGGTTCAATGACTTGGTTGTAAATGATTGGAATGAGATGTGTTAGTGTGTATTGGGTGATATGCATTTATGATCTGCTGTCAGTCGGCCTTGTACTTAGGATAAGCTTATTTAAGATGAAAGCTTCGAGTTTAGAAAGTGAAATGAAGGTGAAAGATGTTTCAAAATGAATTTCCTTTGTCTTTCTCTCTCTTCAATCCAAACATCAGATCTGTGAATGTGTTGGCTGGCTGACTGGCTAAAGCATACAATCTCAGAAGTCATTCTTGTCATATATGAAGATGAATCTGGATATGCATTGTGATAAGTTGTTTACTAGCTATCAAGTTTGTCTTTACTCTTATGCCAAATCATATATTACTGGATGAATTAAGAAAATGAAGAGAACAAGCTCTGAGAGTGAGAGAGGGAGAGAGTAAGATCTCTCTCTCTCTCTCTCTCTCTCCGTCTACTCATGCCCAAATTTAGGTTTTTGAGCGACTTTTGATTGCAACACCAAAAAAAAAAGAAAACTGTTCAACAAGTGGTCAGTTGAGTGCGAACGAGATAAGTCTTTCATATTTCAAAGAGAGAGGGAAATAGAAAGAGAGAGAGAGTGAGAGGAAAAGAAAGAGAGAGGGAAAGACATGCAACGAAAGATTACGAAAGAAATGGAGAATGCATAGGATGAAACATTCCATCCCCGAACTTGGAATTATCGTCAAACTTATGTGAGACGATGAAAAAAAGAGAAGAAGACTGAAGATTTCTTCATCCGGTTTCCTTTCTTTCATCCTCTTTCTCTTTTCTCCCCCACTCTCCTCTTCTCCCTCTTTATCTTCATGTCATCCTTTCCTTCTGTAAGCACTATGTATCTTTCTATATCTCTCTTTCTCTCTCTCTTTCTCTTTCTCTCTCGTACTTTTTATTTTCATTTTTTCCCCTTCTAATTGTTCTGTACCTCAAAGGCAGAAGAGATCTTTGAACGGTTCACAGTTTATTGTTCAAAGAAGGGAAATGGACGGTTCTAATTGGAATATTCACGACCTCAGAAGAGAAAATTCAGAATATGAATAGAAGTTATAAAGCGGAACGATATGGAAGACGAATGAGAAAGAGAGAGAGAGCGAAAGGAATGAAGTGTGAGAAGGAGTGAAGGTGTAATCATTACAAAGGATGAGGATCGAAATAAAAAACGGTTTTATTGAGGAGGTCAGGCAAGTCACAAAACACCGACTGCTAGAGACATGCATGGGAGTAAGCTGACAAGACACATTTAAGAAGAAGCTTCAACTTGTTTTCAAATGAATTGAAAAAAAGTTTTGATTGGAATGAATAAACTGACATCACGAGATGATGTGATGTCTGGGGGGATTATGATTTCTCTGGATTTGACCGTTTGGATCTATTGTGCCTCAAGAAGGCGAGACAGAGGTTATGAATAAGAAGAAGATGAACATGACGGACATGATGAAGACGAAGAAGTGGAAAAGGAGGAGGAGATGAAGACAAGGACCAGGATGAAATGAGAAATTTGGAGATGTTATCAGACAATTCCGGTGAGACAAGAAGCGTGTGAGCGTGCGAACAGAACAATCGCCGACAATCCTTGTCCGTGCCATAAAAGCAACCTTATATGGATGTTGTTGGTATATGGTAAAGCAATTTGATCACAAAATGAAAATGATATAAACATGTGTCGGCGGTGGTCATTAAGATAGCCAAAGGGGGGGAAGACTATGATGAAGAAGTCTATAACAACGACGGAAGCGGAATGAAGGGAAAAAGGCATAGGAGTGAAGATGAAGCTGTTAAAGTCATAAGAAGGATGAAGGTTGGATGATGGAGAAGAAGTCATTCAGCTTTTTGTGAGAAGAAGAAGATGAATAAGAAAAATAAACAATGAAACTGGTAACAAACAAGTTGATTATCCAATTTCTTTACTTAACGAATATTAAAAGAAACAAGATTGTGACGTCACCAGTCCTACATATTTGAATATTCTGATGACGAGAAGGATGATGATGATGATGAAGATGAGAAGGATGAGAAGGAAGATGAAGAAGAAGAAGAAGACAATACAATTCACTTTTACTTTGAAAAAGAATAACGACCAACACAATTTGATTGAAGTGAAAGTGGTCAAAATCCATAAGGTCAATCGGCCAACATCATCAATCACATACTACGCATACAAGGAATTCATATAGCACTAACGAACATGAAGCCAACACAGTAGTCCTCTTGAATATACTATGCTGACTATATATTATGTTATTATAGACAGAATGGATATTGATAGGATGATAGACGAAATGTATATGATAGCTTATCCTCATCAAGGATCATCATGATCATCATGATCATCTCCAGCTATCTGCACACGCTGTTGAAAATGAAAATTTCATAAAACGATTTGAGTAGATAAGAAGTGAAAGTTGGTCAACAACTTGAAATGATCACACCATTCAAATTGAGGTCATCTATCTCCTTTAAATGATTCAAACGTCTTTTCACTTGTGTGTGGTCAAACATTTCAAATACATTTGAATATCATATGGTCATGCTTGTTGTAATTGATGAGAAGCTGAACCTATCTGTCTTGTATGCACGATGGCTCACTCTCTGCCGATCAGATGAATGATGAAGACGAAATCAACTTCATTTCCAAATGCGTACCTTGCTGCATGTGCACCTATCAATGAATGATAATGAAAAGGAGAGTTCTCGCAATTTCATTTTCTACTCTCCGAATTTGTGAGCGGTCGTCTATGATTTTCTTAGAAAAACACATTTACCTTTCGCATAACGATCAATCTTTCAAAATCATTTCAATATTCCGTCTCAAACGCAAAGAAGGCGTATGACTTCTGTGATTTCATGAAAGTCAAATCAGTTTGTGCTAGCATAATCCATTTGATGGGGACTCCTCGATATTGAGACCCAGCTGGAGAGGTTGCATCTTCCATCATTAGCTTTGGCAGGGCTCTTCAGAGGTTAGAGGACACATACTGAACTACATCCACTAATGGATCTGATTGAGATACCAGAGGTTCTCATTCCGTATCGAAAGAGATCGTTTCAGTTGCTCTTTTAAGAATTATTGTCATTAATCTGCTACTACCAACAGACCGCTGAAGACATCCAAGTAACGCAAAAGAGTCGCTTGAGTTTTACAAGCAAACTTCTGCCTTACCACAGAAGACTGTATGGCCAGAAGAAGAGTAATCAAACATTAGATCAAAGGCAATTACTCAATGAGAGTGAACCCTCGTATGCTCTCGTATTCGATCTCAATCGTTTTTTATTCGAAATGACATGTTCATTAGATTTGATTGGGTTGAAAAACCATATCCGATGTCATCTTAACTTGGAGGATCTAAAACTTCCTTTGAAATAGAAAGTAAGAACAACTCAATGCGATTTTCTGATTTCATCTCACAAACGAATGAGAAAGTGAGAGTTCCAATTACCTTTTCAACACTTCTTTGAAATACTTCCAATAGATATAGTATGATCAATGGTTGAACGTTCTTTGGATTGTAGTTGTTTCGTGGAGTTTGATTTGTTTATTTCATGTATTCCTGTATATGTACTGCCCTCTAGTCGGTAGTTACAGTTACGCCTTTGTTGACAACTTACAGCGATATTGATTATTTCATAAGAGATTGCAAGATTAGTTTTCCTCACAATCCAATATACCGTTCCATGTTAGGATAGGTTGGCCCAATGCTAGTTGCAGATCACTGAGTTGCGCTCTAATCTACATCTGATA